TCCAGGGGGGCGACGGCGTGTGTGGGATCAACACGCTGCCTGGGATCTACCCGGTGGTGCACGCTGCCAAGGACCCCTGCAACGTGAACGGCACCACCAGTGGGATGTTTGGGCCACTCTTCAACCCGTGTGGCAACTTCACGTGCACGCCCACGCCTGATGGGGCCAGCAACCACTGCGACTGCAACGACCCGCGATTTGTCGAGGCGCTTCAACCGGACAACTCCCGCACCTGTGCTTACAGTGAGCGCCCTCCCCTGTGCTTACAGTGAGCGTCCTCCCCTGTGCTTACAGTGAGCGGTTTTTGTGCTTACAGTGAGCGCCCTCCCTTGTTCCTACCGTAAGCGTTCTTTCCTGTCCTGCCTCGTGTGATGCTGTCATGGTTCAGAGCAAATGCAAGTTGTGCCCTTTGCCACGAAGAGAAGAACATGACCGAGTCCCCCTTGGTTGTGTCCTTCACCTCTTGCCTTGAACCCCAGAGGACGCATGTAGAGCAGCGTTGCACAATCCGTGTGCGGTGGGCACGTGTGTGAATGATGGAGAAGGGTCGTACTCGTGTGTGTGCCCTCCGGGCTTCAGGCAGGGCACCACTGTTGAAGGCACCTTCTCTTGTGCTCTAGGTAACCTTCATTTCTTGCGCTCCAGATGCCTCTCATTCTGAGCTCCACTTGTTCCCACTCTTAATCGCGTAATGCTGTGATGAAGTGTACTGGGGGACACATTGCAATGCTAGCTCTACAACGCACCATCATTACCATCACTCCCCATTCACCTCCATATCTTCTCATGGCCAACAACCGCACCCATTCCCTACTGCATCACTCCTTTCGCACCATTGCATCTGCACCGCACATCCATCTGCACCACACTCCACCGCACTGCACAGGTGACTCCAGTAGCACATACACGGTGGTGTCATGGGGTGTCACGTGTGCCGACATCCACCCTGTCTACGGCCTCGCTCTCGCTCAACTGCTAGCCCAGAACCCCGTGAGCCTACTTCCACGCCCACAATCCGACGAGCCTCGTAGTGGGCCCATGCCTTCCTGTTGCTTCTTGAGAACTCTCTACCTTCACATTCATCTCCCTCTTCCCCACTCTCCGTAAATTTCTGCCCAGTCTCTTCACGCCTGATCTCCCCTTCACCCCTCACACCTGGCATGCCCTATCCCCTCGCCCATCTCCTCCACCCGCCCCTGCCTACTCCCCTCCCCCTTCCCCACCAGGGTCTGAGCTGTAGCGCTCCTCTTGCTATCGGCACGGTGGTGAACAGGGTCCAGCCAGCCGACCTCACTCCTTGCTCCGTCTACTACACCACGTCAGAGGTCCGCCTTCTCCCTCCTCTCCCCCTGCCTGCCTCCCTGCCTTTCCTTCCTGCCTACCACACTCTCTCCCTTACTCCCTCCCTCTCCCCCCCCTCGCTGCTACCCCCAGCAGCCCTCCATGTCCTGAACCGCTATATTAAGACCCGAAATTCCGTGCCTTTTAATCCCGAATATCTTCTCCTCGCTACCTCCATGCCCCTCCTTGCACACGACCGTCTCCCACCAGTCTCCCTGCCTCCTCTCAACCCACACACGCATGCTCTCCTCTTCCCCTTGCCCAGTACCCCACCTGGCTTCCCACCCTCCTTGCTCTCCTATCGTCCTCTGCTCTCACCATCCTCCCACCGGAGGACAAGTGTGTCTCATTGGCAGTCTACATATCTCTCTCCAACGGTTTCCCTGCCCAAGATCCCACCACCGAGCCCACCTTGGCCCCCGCCCTACACAGCAGCTTTCCAGGCTCTCAACCCGGGACTGCCTTTCTGCCTATTTCCCCCCCCCCTTATCTCCTTTCATCCTTCTCTTTCATCCTTCTCTCTCATCCTCCACTCTCCTCCCCCATTCTCCCCCCTCCTCTCCATTCCTCGCTCCCAACCCCCCAGGGCGACACATGTGAGTCGCTAGCCACCTACTTCTCCCTCACCGCCGGCTGCCCCACTCCCACTGAGCCCTGCGCAGCAGCCTTCCAGGCGCTCAACCCCGGGCTGGACTGCTCTGGTGACAGCAACGGGGTGCTGCTGCCCAGCCAGGCGGTGTGTGTGGAGCGGCGGGCGGAGAGTGCAGCGGCGCTGCTCATCCCGGTGTGCTCGCAGTTCTATCTGGTGCAGGCCGGGGAGACGTGCAACCAGATCCGCTCCGTGCCCTCCCCGCCGCTCTCCCCTCTCGAGTTCTTCCGCCTCAACCCTGGCATCAAGTGCAGCCGCCTCGTGCCCAAGACTGACGTTGGCAGCATTACAGGCTTCGAGGTCTGCCCTACTCTTTGACCACACTACCCTCTCCCATAACTCTCCCCTCCACACCCTCACTCCTCCAGTCCGCACCTCTAGACCATGAGAACCATCTGTGCTGTGCTGTCTGCCGCCGCTCATTCAGCATGCATGCACACACACCTCCAATTTCACCTCACCGTCATGTATCTTTGTGCAGCTGGTTACTTACCTACCTACGTACTTACCACCTCCATGCATTTCTCCCCTTGCACTCTCTCACCCCCTCTTTCCCCCTGCCCCCGCCCTCTCCCCCCTCCTCCCCACCCGCACTTGACTGCACGGCAAGTGCAGGCGTGCATAGGCAGCTCATTCAGCTTCATGCAAGGAGTGTGCCCCAAGACTCGTGCGTACGTGGTTGGGATTGGCGACCGCTGCACTGGCCTGCAGGTCAAGTACTTCCATGGAATCAAAGGGTGCTACAGGAAGACCAACGGCTACGATTGCATCGATAAGCTCGTCAAGTCGACCGGAGTGTGCATTCCGGACCAAGTGAAGATCAAGGCCGGGAAATGCGAACCTTGACATGGACATGCTCCCCTCTGCTTATTTCTCTCCATACATCCCCTTTTCTCAGAGTAAGAAACCATGTACATAAAATTGATGTTTTATTAAGTGAATCATTTGTGGGATTTCTTGCGTTCTTTAAGAAGAATGTGCTCACAAACGCTTTCCAAGGAAACCGGCACTCATGTCTCCTAGTTAAGTTGGGGTTTGATTATACCTGCACACAAAGAGAAAAAGCAGAGGGCACACCATTAAGTTGTACCAATACAAACAGCACTCCCTTACTCTTAGCGATATTGACCAGCTGCTTCTTTACACAACTTGAATATATAGGTTGATGGTGCAACCTCATGGTTTGCACTTGCCTTTTTCTCCTTGCGAGTACACGTGTGCATGCTTGCATGGAATGGTATGAGAGCATGAGATAATATATAATTTATGCTTATAAAATTGTGTGAGTGATGATTCATGATGTCGAATGTCTGTGTCGAGTAAATAGTGAGTTTTCGCTAGTCGTGTGTCACATTGCCGTTTGCATTTTGTGTGTGTTTTCTATTTTGTCTTGTGTTGAACGTTTAGCGTGTCGCAAGTGTGTGCAGCAAGTGCAGAGATTTCTGCTCTTACAAGAGCTTCTACAGAAAGTTCTCTGCAGTCACGCAAACATGTAGTTCACTGAGAGAATTTTGTTAATTATTGGGAAGATCAAAGTTTGCTCACAAAAGTGATTTACTGTTATTGGATTATAGAATGCAAGGGGTAAAATGGAATTATTTCTGTTACGATATGGAATTGTTGAATAACATTCATGAAGTAAAGAATCCTTACTGCGAAGATGACTGCAGCGAGGACGAAGACCAAGCGACGCATACAGTTATCGAAGACGATTGAAAGCAGAATAAATTCAAAGTGCAAGCGCGGGAAATGCATTCAAACAGTTACCGTGGCGCGTATTCTTACCGAACCGTACGGTTGGCATTCCCGATGTAGGTTAGCCCTAAGGGGAATGTACCACCTCAGAGTACATGGCTGGCTAGGACCTTTCGTATTCCCTTGTATTCCTCTATAGACCCTTGTACCGTATTGTTATAGTCACTTCTGTCGAGATTTAAATCTCCTTCTTCTGACAGGGTCCGTACCTGGCATTCACTAAGCAATCTTCCGCTGCTACAAGTTTCGCGATCAACCTGAGACGATCCTATACCTTCATTTCAGATTGTAACATGGTATGAGAGCTACTCTGGATTCTTTGCATCACCACCGCTGATTCAAATTCGAATCCAAGGTGGCGTCTGGTACGCGCTCCCGCCGAAACATAGCTGGAGGATCTGGTTGGCAGGTGGCTCCTACAGCCGAAGCCCCTGCCAACCCAACCACGAACTCTGCGGCAAACACCACCGTCACTAATGCGCTGCTCGAACAACTTATTCAGCGCATCACCACTCTGGAGTCCGGAATTCAGCAAATGAAGAACGGAAACCCCGGAACCTCGCAACAACCCAAACAACCTGCTGCTCCCAACAAGGAACCGGCTCCAACCACATTCGACCTCGGGTCGAACTCTGCCGCTCCAACCACTTCACGCCCAAGTGACGAAGCCATGCCTACAGCCCATAACAAGTTCCTGGCTATCTCCAAGATTCGTACAAGCACCCCCTTCAATGGTTGGGATTTCTACACGTGGAGTTTTGAGCTCAAACTGCTCCTCCAAAGCGCTCAGATCTTCTGCTTCTTCGACGGAAGCTACCCTGGCCCCACAAGCGACACCAACGAAGCAAAAGCCCAATACTACAACGAATCGCTTATGGCGTACAGTATCCTGCTCCGCAGCCGAACAAATCGGCATACGCCCATTCAAAAACGATCCGGCCTCCGCTACAACCGCCTGGAGCTACCTCGTCAAATCATATCTGCCTAAGGACTCCGTATCATCGAGTCGTCTTCTCCAACAGCTCCTAGAAGTCAACATGACACTAGGAGAAAAGGCAAACGCCTACATCAATCGATGTCGGAACATCCGCGATCAGCTGCAGAAGCTAGGAAACACGATCCCTGAGAACATGTTCGTTACTATTGCCCTCCAAGGCTAGGACCTCAGTGGAACCCGTGCAAAGCCTTACTCCCCCAACAAGGTACAGTCTCTGAAGCGCATCTCTGCGCCACACTCCTGCACGAACAACAAGACATGGACTTCGACAAAGAAAAAGGGGCCCGACGCGAGCAAATCGCCTTGTATTGTGGCCGTGATCAACGACGGCCTCGCGATCCTCGCGACTCTCGCGACTCACGAACGTGCCAATATTACTGCAAAAAATGCAAATATTTGGTCACTCAACGGAACGCTGCCAATCCGGGCCGCGACCCGATTCCGCACCGCGTAACAATGCATTTTCCGGCCCCGATAACTCTCGCCATGCAAACCGACCGTCTTCGGACCATCAGCTTGCCCCGCGACAATCATCTCAGCCTGAGGCGCCCAGGATTCCATACACCAACAACGTTCGTCATGTCATTGGCAATATGGCGATGCGCGTTCACCGTCGCACACGGCGAACAAGCCGTCGGCACCTGCGACACGTCTCTCCTCCCCCACCTGGTCGTGAGGTTGAATTCTCCAGTTACAACAGCCCCTTCACGCAGGGCGCGGAGTTTGTCTCTGACGAGCGCGAACAGGACTGGGACCTGCCGACCCCCCTGCTCGAATCGCCGCCGCACGACGAGGATTTCATCAACTCAACATCCATTGACAGCTATTTCTACGGCCACTACATCAACACTCGTCCCGTGACAACTACTGCTGGGCCGGCGACAAGCACATCCCCTTCCGCAACACACCCAACCTCGCATTCTCGGCTCAGACCTGCACCAATACATACAACACTTGGTACCTTGACAGCTGCTATGGGCAACACATGGTTGGTTCCAAGCGCTTCATCTCCCACACACGTCCCATCTCGCAGCCCACCGTCGTCACAGTGGCCAACAACCAGCAACTTGAAGCGCGCGCGTGCGGCATCGTCATTCTCAATGCACGAGACAGCGATATTCACATCACCCTCAACGACGTACACATCGTCTGGGACGCGTAAGGAAGGGAAAGCTTGTGAACAATTTTATTGTCCTGAAGGTATGCCACCAGCTTGTCGCTCTTGAACTCGGCTGCGCAGTCAGTTTGCCAAAGCTTGAGCTTGCAGCCGGACTGAGTTTTGGCGTTGCTATGCCAGACTTTGAAGACGTCATACGCCTTGCTCCTGTGAGAGACATTGGCTACCCAAACAAAGCGAGAGTGAGTGTCAACGAAGGTAAGAGTACATTCTTCGTCGTTGATGCATGTCTGGGTTAGGACAAGAAAGTCGCTGTAAACTTTCTAGAGCTTGGCGGCGGCCAGCAAGACGGCATGCAGGCAGGGCAGGGCGGCGCGGCGGCGAGCGGCGCTCAGGCAGGGCGGCGCGCTAGCAGGGCGGTGGCGCGGCGGCGAGCAGCGCGCGGGCAGGGCGGCGCGGCGGCGAGCGATGCGCGGGCAGGGCAGGGCGCGCGGCAGCGAGCAGCGCGCGGGCAGGGCAGGGCGCGCGGCGGCGAGTGGCGCGCGGGCAGAGCGACGCGGCGCGGCGGCGAGCGGCGCGCGGGTAGGGCAGGGCGCGTGGCGGCGAGTAACACGCGGGCAGGGCGGCGCGCGGGCAGGGCAGGGCGCGCGGCAGCGAGCAGCGCACGGGCAGGGCAGGGCAAGACGTGCGCGGGCAGCGCGACGCAGGGCAGGGTAGGGCAGCGCGGTGCTAACAGGGCGGCGCGACGTGTGGGGTAGCGCGATTCGGTGGGCCCCTAAAACAAAATCGGTCGTAGGCTAGGACATGCTCTGAAACCATGTCAGCAGAATGAACGAGAATGGATTGAACTAGCAGCATGCAGGAGTACAAGTAGCAAACCCTAATTGGGTTGTACCCCCATATGGGCTCACTACAGCCTACACAACATGCAGCATATAAGTTTGACAGAAAAACCCCTAGGCCACCAGGGCACTTTCAAAAAACGATTCAGAGAAACAGAGTAGTTTACTCTGATCAAATTCCCCTCCCGGGCCTACAACCAGGAAACCATGGGTCAAGGTTCGCATTTCCCGGCCTTGATCTTCACTTGGTCCGGAATGCACACCCTGGTCGACTTAACGAGCTTATCGATGCAATCGTAGCCGTTGGTCTTCCTGTAGCACCCTTTGATTCCACGGAAGTACTTGACCTGCAGGCCAGTGCAGCGGTCGCCAGTCCCAACCACGTACGCACGAGTCTTGGGGCACACTCCTTGCATGAAGCTGAATGAGCTGCCTATGCACGCCTGCACTTGCCGTGCAGTCAAGTGCGGGTGGGGAGGAGGGGGGAGAGGGCGGGGGCAGGGGGAAAGAGGGGGTGAGAGAGTGGAAGGGGAGAAAGGCATGGAGGTGGTAAGTACGTAGGTAGGTAAGTAACCAGCTGCACAGAGATTCATGACGGTGAGGTGAAATTGGAGGTGTGTGTGCATGCATGCTGAATGAGCGGCGGCAGACAGCACAGCACAGATGGTTCTCATGGTCTAGTGGTGCGGACTGGAGGAGTGAGGGTGTGGAGGGGAGAGTTATGGGAGAGGGTAGTGTGGTCAAAGAGTAGGGCAGACCTCGAAGCCTGTAATGCTGCCAACGTCACGAGGCGGCTGCACTTGATGCCAGGGTTGAGGCGGAAGAACTCGAGAGGGGAGAGCGGCGGGGAGGGGCGGATCTGGTTGCACGTCTCCCCGGCCTGCACCAGATAGAACTGCGAGCACACCGGGATGAGCAGCGCCGCTGCACTCTCCGCCCGCCGCTCCACACACACCGCCTGGCTGGGCAGCAGCACCCCGTTGCTGTCATCAGAGGAGTCCAGCCCGGGGTTGAGCGCCTGGAAGGCTGCTGCGCAGGGCTCAGTGGGAGTGGGGCAGCCGGCGGTGAGGGAGAAGTAGGTGGCTAGCGACTCACATGTGTCGCCCTGGGGGGTTGGGAGCGAGGAATGGAGAGGAGGGGGGAGAATGGGGGAGGAGAGTGGAGGATGAGAGAGAAGGATGAAAGAGAAGGATGAAAGGAGATAAGGGGGGGGGGAATAGGCAGAAAGGCAGTCCCGGGTTGAGAGCCTGGAAAGCTGCTGTGTAGGGCGGGGGCCAAGGTGGGCTCGGTGGTGGGATCTTGGGCAGGGAAACCGTTGGAGAGAGATATGTAGACTGCCAATGAGACACACTTGTCCTCCGGTGGGAGGATGGTGAGAGCAGAGGACGATAGGAGAGCAAGGAGGGTGGGAAGCCAGGTGGGGTATTGGGCAAGGGGAAGAGGAGAGAGCATGCGTGTGTGGGTAGAGAGTAGGCAGGGAGACTGGTGGGAGATGGTCGTGTGCAAGGAGGGGCATGGAGGTAGCGAGGAGAAGAGATTCGGGATTAAAAGGCACGGAATTTCGGGTCTTAGTAGAGCGGTTCAGGACATGGAGGGCTGCTGGGGGTAGGCAGAAAGGGAGAGGGAGGGAGTAAGGGAGAGAGTGTGGTAGGCAGGAAGGAAAGGGAGGGAGGCAGGCAGGGGGAGAGGAGGGAGAAGGCGGACCTCTGACGTGGTGTAGTAGACGGAGCAAGGAGTGAGGTCGGCTGGCTGGACCTCGTTCACCACCGTGCCGATAGCAAGAGGAGCGCTACAGCTCAGACCCTGGTGGGGAAGGGGGAGGGGAGTAGGCAGGGGCGGGTGGAGGAGATGGGCGAGGGGATAGGGCATGCCAGGTGTGAGGGGTGAAGGGGAGATCAGGCGTGAAGAGACTGGGCAGAAATTTACGGAGAGTGGGGAAGAGGGAGATGAATGTGAAGGTAGAAAGTTCTCAAGAAGCAACAGGAAGGCATGGGCCCACTACGAGGCTCGTCGGATTGTGGGCGTGGAAGTAGGCTCACGGGGTTCTGGGCTAGCAGTTGAGCGAGAGCGAGGTCGTAGACAGGGTGGATGTCGGCACACGTGACACCCCACGACACCACCGTGTATGTGCTACTGGAGTCGCCTGTGCAGTGCGGTGGAGTGTGGTGCAGATGGATGTGCGGTGCAGATGCAGTGGTGCGGAAGGAGCGGTGTAGAAGGGAATGGGTGCGGTTGTTGGGCATGAGAGGATATGGAGGTGAATGGGAAGTGATGGTAATGATGGTGGATTACGCGATGGTGCAATGTGTGATGGTGCATGATCTATCAGTATGCTTTGTAGCAGCATTACGTGAACAAGAGTGGGAACAAGTGGATCTCAGAATGAGATGCATCTGAAGTGCAAGAAAGGGAGGTTACCTGGAGCACAGGAGAAGGTGCCATCAACAGTGGTGCCCTGCCTGAAGCCCGGAGGGCACACACACGAGAACGACCCCTTGCCATCATTCACACACGTGCCCACTGCACATGGATTGTGCAATGCTGCCCTGCATGCGTCCTCTGGGGATCAAGGCAAGACATGAAAGACATGGAACTCGGTCATGATCTTCTCAGTGACAAGGGCACAACTTGCATGTGCTCTGAGACATGACAGCATCACACGAGGTAGCACAGGAGAGAGTGGCAACTGTAACCAAAGGGGAGAACACTCACTGTAAGCACAGGTGCGAGAGTTGTCCGGTTGAAGCGCCTCGACGAATCGCGGGTCGTTGCAGTCGCAGTGGTTGCTGGCCCCATCAGGCGTGGGCGTGCACGTGAAGTTGCCACAGGGGTTGAAGAGCGGCCCATCCACCCCACTGGTGGTGCCGTTGACGTTGCAGGGGTCCTTGGCAGCGTGCACCACCGGGTAGATCCCAGGCAGCGTGTTGATCCCACACACGCCGTCGCCCCCCTGGATGTCCATCCGCATGTGCCCGCCGTCGCCCCACTCCGAGCCCCATGAGTTGCGGATGATCCAGAAGGGCGGCGCCATGTGCGGGAACGTGGGGTCTGAGCTGGTGAGGTGATAGCCCACCAGCAGCACCACGTGGTTCAGGTTGTACGTGAAGCACGAGGGGTCTGCGTACTTGGATAGCTGGGTTGGGAAGGGGAAGGGGGGGTGCGGGGGAGAAGTGAGGGGTGCACGGGTATGGAATGAAATGTGGGACACGTGGTTGACATTGCAGCAGAGGCTCGACTCCCATTCTCCACAGTACATCTACCGGCCCTCAAAGGTGTGCGAGTGTGTGTGTGTGTGTGTGTGTGTGTGTGTGTGTGTTTGTTTGTGTGTGTGTGTGTATGTGTGTGTGTGTGTATGAGTTAGAGTGGGCTCACCCCATCATAGTCAAGAAAGGAGGGGGCGGTGGCCTGCACATGCACCACCACGGGCTGTCGCTGCACGGCCAGCAGCAGCCCAAACCAGCCGTGGAACGCCGTGCGCTCAAACCCGTTCACTCTGAACGCCCCCCCCGATGGCTTGCTCTGCCGTAGGGGTGATAGGAGAGGGGGATAGGGGAGGAGAGGTACGGGTGGAAGGGTGGAGGTGTAGGAGAGGGGGATAGGGGAGGGGTAGGGGGGAAGGGCGGGGGCATACGAGAGGTGATGAAGGGGAGGGGGGTTAGGAGAGAGGGTATGTGGGATGTGGTGGTGAAGGTCAACGTGCTTGGTGCAGCTGCACCCTGAGGGTGTGTGTGAGGATGTGCTCCGTCTTGTGCTGGCCACGCTGCACACAGCTGTGTGCACCCTAAGCTGGCCTTGACCTCGCAAAACAAAGGAAGTAGTGGTGCAACTGCAAAAGCGCCTTAAGCGGGCCACAAACGAAGGAAATAGGGGCGGATAGATGTCAGTCAGTGTGCTTTGACTGACTGTGGTAGACAGATGGTCCTTTCTGAGATGTGTAGTGTGACCTGTCCACGTGGATGTGACCTCCCTATTGGAGCAAGTTGCCTCTCTTCATGAGTGCAAAATCAGGTGACTTTTGAGTCGACTCAAGAGTCACCTCTTCATGAGTGCAAATCCTTGTCACAATATCGCTTTTGAGAATTCTCAAAAGCGTAGTTCTTTGCCAGTAGACATTGTATGCGAGTGCAACTAATTATGTAGGTCCTTTCAAACAAGGACCGCAAATCTCAAGGCAGCCTCATTCTAACAACAACAGTGTCAGGCCGCCCCTCACAACAATGGATTGTAGTAGGCACATGACGAGATACCTGAGGAGGTCAATACACCTGGCAATGGAGATGGCACCTGATGAGGGATTTGAGATGCTAAGAATATATAGCATGACAAGACAATGGGCCGGAGTAGGCACCTGGTTCAGAATCCATGAGGCACGTGGTCAGGCACCTTCCTTGACACATCTGATGAAACAATTGGAAATTACTAGACGGATCAGGCACTTTCTGTGGACGTTTTTTTAGAAATCCCAACCAGGTGAATCCAATTGTACTTGCATTCAAATGAAAACATTGACAGTAGAATAAAAAATCCAGGAAAGAGAAGTAACTTACAGATCCTGGGGCGGGTGTGGCCTCTGCCGAACAAAACCCACATTAGGCCGCCTAGCGCCAAACAAAGGAAAACAAGGTAAGAAAAGGCAGCATACCGATCCGGGGGCCCTGCCTTTGCCGCAGGAGATCCCAAGCGCTTGCACGAGCAGAGCAAAGATGGGCATGTCACACAGCGGGCTCTGCCTGCCACTCTTCTTGCCCCCCCTCCCTCTCACCACCGCCTCAGCCCCATCCTCCATGAGCCCCACTTTGCTCTTGGCGGATGAGGGTGACGAGGTACTGGAAGGCCTGGGAGGGCGAGTTGCCCTGCGAGCATGAGGATCCGAGGGCTTCACGCAGCTGGGTGTGAGAGAGGAGCGGCACTGCGGAGAGGTTGAAGAGAATGTTGTAGGCCACTTCTACACTGCCCACCACCGCGTACGCCCAGCAGTCGCCTGAGAGAGAGGAGTGGGGGAAATGGAATCAGGGTGGGGTTGAAGTGATGGGAAGTTAAAGTGCGTTTGTATGCTGCCCAATACTGTGTATGCCCAGCAGTTAGCTGGATGGGAAAACGGGAGGGGGCACAATGGACAAGCCTTCCCTCTCATGACCTCCCTCTCGCCCTTTTAGCCCCAAGTGAAGGAAAACGATCACATTCCATCCCACACATCTCATCCCATCCCATTCCATCCCATCCCATCCCATCCCATCCCATCCCATCCCATCCCATCCCATCCCATCCCATCCCATCCCATCACATCACATGCAATTATATTGTATCCTGTCCCATCCCCTCCCTTCCCCTCCCCTCACCTCCTCTCCCCTCCCCTCCCATCCCAAATCTTCCAATACCCCTCCCTCCTCTTTCCTCCACTCCCCTCCCCTCCCCTCCCCTCCCGCCCCCTCCCCTCCCCTCCCGTCCCGTCCCCTCCACTCCCCTACCCTCCACTCGACTACCCTCCCCTCAACTCACCTCCCCTCCCTTCGCCTCCCCCCTCCTCCCCTCCCTGCCCTTCCCACCCCCACCCCCATGCCCTCACCACAGGCGCCCTGGTTCTGGACAGGCCACGGCAGCCCCTGGTCGGCCCAGGAGAACGCCTGGCTCACAACCCATACCTCCTCCTCCTCGCCCCCTCCGCCTCCGCCCCCCCCTCCTCCGCCTGCTGGCTGCACTGCCTGCACGCCCACACTGGCGTAGCGGAAAAACAGGTTCGCCCCCACTGGTGCCAGCGATGCCTCGCTGAAACGGAACCCAAATTGCTGGCCTGGAGAAGGGAAAGGGGGGGAGATAGGGGGGGGAGAGAGGGGGGAGGGGAGGAGAGGGGAGGGGATGGTGAGTTAGTATAGGGTAGGGTAGGGTAGGGGTGGTTGGGGTAGGATAGGGTAAAATAGGGTGAGGGTGGGGTAGGCAGGGTAGGAGAATGCTGGAATATTTTGCGATATAGTGGAAAGAAGCCCATGGATGAAGAGGTGGTGAGCGTGGTGAGGAAGATGAGGAGGGAGATTAAAGGAAGGGCTGAAGGAGGATTGGGGGATGGACATGGTGGAAAAATGAAATGGGGATTGGGAGAAGTACGGGGGATGACTTGTGGGAGGATTGGGGCAAGGATTGGACGACCAAAGGGTGACTCGGGTCAATCATACCTGTAAGAGTGGTTGGTTCCGGGAGACCTGGAAAGAAAAAGAAAAACAGAGAGACAGAAAAGTGAAGTGGGGAGAGGCAGATGGATGAACGAATAGACAGCAACAACTGCGAGGGAGAACAGAGGTAGCACATGGCATCATGGAGCAAAACAGAACAGCAAGAAGCAGGAGAGAGAAGCAGAAAGTGGCACAGAGCAGCAGGGATGGAACATCAGAGAGCTTCAAGGAGCAGCAATAAGTACCTGTGGTGATGTTCCAGGCGAGGATGGAGTGGAGCTGCAGGGAGTCAGAGGAGGAAGCAGAGAAGCCCATGAGGAACGACGCCTCCTCTGCACTGGGCTGCAGGAACTCGCACAGCGACACCTGCATCGCCACCACTGCCTTGCCAGGCCGAGGGGACCCCTTGGCCGACAGAAACACCCGCAGCCACCCCGTGCCTTCACTACTGCTGCTGCCATAGCCAGTGCTGGCAGAAGAACCAGAGGAGGAAGGGGAAGGATCGAAGATGATCCAGGCGTGCTTTGGAGTGCCGTCGTTGAGAGTAAAGGGCGCTTTGGCAGTTGCGATGGAAGAGGTGTTGCCCCTCACACTCACTCCCACGTGGTTCTTATTCGGGTCGTTGGCATCGGTGCTCCTGGCAGTGTCAAACTCCACTGCAATGCTGCGCTCATCCATGCCTGCATACCCCAAACTGTAGCCGCCACCACTGCCGTCACTGCTGCCACTGCTCCCGCCTGTAGCAGCGTCACTGGCTGCAATCACAAATGCAAACCCATCCCCTGCGTCACCCGCCGCTGTGGCTGCTGCCCTGCGGGCGGTGGCTGGTTTGAGAATGGAGAAGGAGAAATAGACGGTGAAGGCCAAGGGGCGGCCGCAGGCACCGGCCTTGAGGGCGAAGGAGAAGAGTGGGATGGGCAGCTGGAGGAACGCTGCACCCCACGTGTTGGGCTGTGAGGCTGTGAGCGTGATGCGGCCGTTGCTTGCCACTGCCGCCCTCCCCTTCACTGCTGTCTGTGCTGCTGTTGGCTGCACGGTCAGTGGGCCGCCCTCCTGGCCTGTTGGTGAGGGAGGGGGCGAGGGCAGGTGGCAAGCGGGCAGAAAGGCACAAGGCAGAGAAGGTCGTGGTTAAAAAGCAGGGCTTTGAGAAGTCCGCGGGAAGAGAAGAGACGGTCTTTGAGGCGCCTCAAGAGCAGGGCAATGTACAAAAGCTCTTCGGCACTTCCAACCCACTTCAACAGCTACCTACATGCAGTGTGACGATTTCCAGGGCGTCTAAAAAACAACACTCTGGGCTGCACACCCCTTCTGGACTGGTGGGGGAGAAAGGGAGCTTGGGATGGCATACAATAGTGGGCCGTTCTGGTGGCGGAATACGTGGTAGGTGCAGGAACGGAAGAAGGTGAGAAGCTTAGGACGTATACTGTCTATCTGTAGAAGACGTGAGCAGGAAGGATTCACAAACATGTCGCCGCTTTCCCAAAGCAAACAGCCACAACCACACAACCCTCACAAACCTCGCAACCCTCACTCCCCTCTCCCCTGTCCTGTTCCCCTATACCCCCCCTCTTCCTGGAACTCACTTCCTTCAGGGACGCAGCTTCCAGGCAGCTCCCCATTGACAAATCTGGGGTGGCAGTCACACGTGGGCACTCTGTTGGGCCCATCCACGTAGCACGAGCCATGCCCGCCGCACGGGGGATCGGCAGCACTCACGCCGCAAAACACATCACAGAGCTCCTCCGGCCGCTGCACCGCTGCATCCACAGCAGAGGGCGTGGCAGGCGTGGGTCGTTGCAGTCGCAGTGGTTGCTGGCCCCATCAGGCGTGGGCGTGCACGTGAAGTTGCCACAGGGGTTGAAGAGCGGCCCATCCACCCCACTGGTGGTGCCGTTGACGTTGCAGGGGTCCTTGGCAGCGTGCACCACCGGGTAGATCCCAGGCAGCGTGTTGATCCCACACACGCCGTCGCCCCCCTGGATGTCCATCCGCATGTGCCCGCCGTCGCCCCACTCCGGGCCCCATGAGTTGCGGATGATCCAGAAGGGCGGCGCCATGTGCAGGAACGTGGGGTCTGAGCTGGTGAGGCGATAGCCCACCAGCAGCACCACGTGGTTCAGGTTGTACGTGAAGCACGAGGGGTCTGCGTACTTGGATAGCTGGGTTGGGAAGGGGAAGGGGGGGTGCGGGGGAGAAGTGAGGGGTGCACGGGTATGGAATGAAATGTGGGACACGTGGTTGACATTGCAGCAGAGGCTCGACTCCCATTCTCCACAGTACATCTACCGGCCCTCAAAGGTGTGCGAGTGTGTGTGTGTGTGTGTGTGTGTGTTTGTTTGTGTGTGTGTGTATGTGTGTGTGTGTGTATGAGTTAGAGTGGGCTCACCCCATCATAGTCAAGAAAGGAGGGGGCGGTGGCCTGCACATGCACCACCACGGGCTGTCGCTGCACGGCCAGCAGCAGCCCAAACCAGCCGTGGAACGCCGTGCGCTCAAACCCGTTCACTCTGAACGCCCCCCCCGATGGCTTGCTCTGCCGTAGGGGTGATAGGAGAGGGGGATAGGGGAGGAGAGGTACGGGTGGAAGGGTGGAGGTGTAGGAGAGGGGGATAGGGGAAGGGTAGGGGGGAAGGGCGGGGGCATACGAGAGGTGATGAAGGGGAGGGGGGTTAGGAGAGAGGGTATGTGGGATGTGGTGGTGAAGGTCAACGTGCTTGGTGCAGCTGCACCCTGAGGGTGTGTGTGAGGATGTGCTCCGTCTTGTGCTGGCCACGCTGCACACAGCTGTGTGCACCCTAAGCTGGCCTTGACCTCGCAAAACAAAGGAAGTAGTGGTGCAACTGCAAAAGCGCCTTAAGCGGGCCACAAACGAAGGAAATAGGGGCGGATAGATGTCAGTCAGTGTGCTTTGACTGACTGTGGTAGACAGATGGTCCTTTCTGAGATGTGTAGTGTGACCTGTCCACGTGGATGTGACCTCCCTATTGGAGCAAGTTGCCTCTCTTCATGAGTGCAAAATCAGGTGACTTTTGAGTCGACTCAAGAGTCACCTCTTCATGAGTGCAAATCCTTGTCACAATATCGCTTTTGAGAATTCTCAAAAGCGTAGTTCTTTGCCAGTAGACATTGTATGCGAGTGCAACTAATTATGTAGGTCCTTTCAAACAAGGACCGCAAATCTCAAGGCAGCCTCATTCTAACAACAACAGTGTCAGGCCGCCCCTCACAACAATGGATTGTAGTAGGCACATGACGAGATACCTGAGGAGGTCAATACACCTGGCAATGGAGATGGCACCTGATGAGGGATTTGAGATGCTAAGAATATATAGCATGACAAGACAATGGGCCGGAGTAGGCACCTGGTTCAGAATCCATGAGGCACGTGGTCAGGCACCTTCCTTGACACATCTGATGAAACAACTGGAAATTACTAGACGGATCAGGCACTTTCTGTGGACGTTTTTTTTAGAAATCCCAACCAGGTGAATCCAATTGTACTTGCATTCAAATGAAAACATTGACAGTAGAATAAAAAATCCAGGAAAGAGAAGTAACTTACAGATCCTGGGGCGGGTGTGGCCTCTGCCGAACAAAACCCACATTAGGCCGCCTAGCGCCAAACAAAGGAAAACAAGGTAAGAAAAGGCAGCATACCGATCCGGGGGCCCTGCCTTTGCCGCAGGAGATCCCAAGCGCTTGCACGAGCAGAGCAAAGATGGGCATGTCACACAGCGGGCTCTGCCTGCCACTCTTCTTGCCCCCCCTCCCTCTCACCACCGCCTCAGCCCCATCCTCCATGAGCCCCACTTTGCTCTTGGCGGATGAGGGTGACGAGGTACTGGAAGGCCTGGGAGGGCAAGTTGCCCTGCGAGCATGAGGATCCGAGGGCTTCACGCAGCTGGGTGTGAGAGAGGAGCGGCACTGCGGAGAGGTTGAAGAGAATGTTGTAGGCCACTTCTACACTGCCCACCACCGCGTACGCCCAGCAGTCGCCTGAGAGAGAGGAGTGGGGGAAATGGAATCAGGGTGGGGTTGAAGTGATGGGAAGTTAAAGTGCGTTTGTATGCTGCCCAATACTGTGTATGCCCAGCAGTTAGCTGGATGGGAAAACGGGAGGGGGCACAATGGACAAGCCTTCCCTCTCATGACCTCCCTCTCGCCCTTTTAGCCCCAAGTGAAGGAAAACGATCACATTCCATCCCACACATCTCATCCCATCCCATTCCATCCCATCCCATCCCATCCCATCCCATCCCATCCCATCCCATCCCATCCCATCCCATCCCATCCCATCCCATCACATCACATGCAATTATATTGTATCCTGTCCCATCCCCTCCCTTCCCCTCCCCTCACCTCCTCTCCCCTCCCCTCCCATCCCAAATCTTCCAATACCCCTCCCTCCTCTTTCCTCCACTCCCCTCCCCTCCCCTCCCCTCCCGCCCCCTCCCCTCCCCTCCCGTCCCGTCCCCTCCACTCCCCTACCCTCCACTCGACTACCCTCCCCTCAACTCACCTCCCCTCCCTTCGCCTCCCCCCTCCTCCCCTCCCTGCCCTTCCCACCCCCACCCCCATGCCCTCACCACAGGCGCCCTGGTTCTGGACAGGCCACGGCAGCCCCTGGTCGGCCCAGGAGAACGCCTGGCTCACAACCCATACCTCCTCCTCCTCGCCCCCTCCGCCTCCGCCCCCCCCTCCTCCGCCTGCTGGCTGCACTGCCTGCACGCCCACACTGGCGTAGCGGAAAAACAGGTTCGCCCCCACTGGTGCCAGCGATGCCTCGCTGAAACGGAACCCAAATTGCTGGCCTGGAGAAGGGAAAGGGGGGGAGATAGGGGGGGGAGAGAGGGGGGAGGGGAGGAGAGGGGAGGGGATGGTGAGTTAGTATAGGGTAGGGTAGGGTAGGGGTGGTTGGGGTAGGATAGGGTAAAATAGGGTGAGGGTGGGGTAGGCAGGGTAGGAGAATGCTGGAATATTTTGCGATATAGTGGAAAGAAGCCCATGGATGAAGAGGTGGTGAGCGTGGTGAGGAAGATGAGGAGGGAGATTAAAGGAAGGGCTGAAGGAGGATTGGGGGATGGACATGGTGGAAAAATGAAATGGGGATTGGGAGAAGTACGGGGGATGACTTGTGGGAGGATTGGGGCAAGGATTGGACGACCAAAGGGTGACTCGGGTCAATCATACCTGTAAGAGTGGTTGGTTCCGGGAGACCTGGAAAGAAAAAGAAAAACAGAGAGACAGAAAAGTGAAGTGGGGAGAGGCAGATGGATGAACGAATAGACAGCAACAACTGCGAGGGAGAACAGAGGTAGCACATGGCATCATGGAGCAAAACAGAACAGCAAGAAGCAGGAGAGAGAAGCAGAAAGTGGCACAGAGCAGCAGGGATGGAACATCAGAGAGCTTCAAGGAGCAGCAATAAGTACCTGTGGTGATGTTCCAGGCGAGGATGGAGTGGAGCTGCGGGGAGTCAGAGGAGGAAGCAGAGAAGCCCATGAGGAACGACGCCTCCTCTGCACTGGGCTGCAGGAACTCGCACAGCGACACCTGCATCGCCACCACTGCCTTGCCAGGCCGAGGGGACCCCTTGGCCGACAGAAACACCCGCAGCCACCCCGTGCCTTCACTACTGCTGCTGCCATAGCCAGTGCTGGCAGAAGAACCAGAGGAGGAAGGGGAAGGATCGAAGATGATCCAGGCGTGCTTTGGAGTGCCGTCGTTGAGAGTAAAGGGCGCTTTGGAAGTTGCGATGGAAGAGGTGTTGCCCCTCACACTCACTCCCACGTGGTTCTTATTCGGGTCGTTGGCATCGGTGCTCCTGGCAGTGTCAAACTCCACTGCAATGCTGCGCTCATCCATGCCTGCATACCCCAAACTGTAGCCGCCACCACTGCCGTCACTGCTGCCACTGCTCCCGCCTGTAGCAGCGTCACTGGCTGCAATCACAAATGCAAACCCATCCCCTGCGTCACCCGCCGCTGTGGCTGCTGCCCTGCGGGCGGTGGCTGGTTTGAGAATGGAGAAGGAGAAATAGACGGTGAAGGCCAAGGGGCGGCCGCAGGCACCGGCCTTGAGGGCGAAGGAGAAGAGTGGGATGGGCAGCTGGAGGAACGCTGCACCCCACGTGTTGGGCTGTGAGGCTGTGAGCGTGATGCGGCCGTTGCTTGCCACTGCCGCCCTCCCCTTCACTGCTGTCTGTGCTGCTGTTGGCTGCACGGTCAGTGGGCCGCCCTCCTGGCCTGTTGGTGAGGGAGGGGGCGAGGGCAGGTGGCAAGCGGGCAGAAAGGCACAAGGCAGAGAAGGTCGTGGTTAAAAAGCAGGGCTTTGAGAAGTCCGCGGGAAGAGAAGAGACGGTCTTTGAGGCGCCTCAAGAGCAGGGCAATGTACAAAAGCTCTTCGGCACTTCCAACCCACTTCAACAGCTACCTACATGCAGTGTGACGATTTCCAGGGCGTCTAAAAAACAACACTCTGGGCTGCACACCCCTTCTGGACTGGTGGGGGAGAAAGGGAGCTTGGGATGGCATACAATAGTGGGCCGTTCTGGTGGCGGAATACGTGGTAGGTGCAGGAACGGAAGAAGGTGAGAAGCTTAGGACGTATACTGTCTATCTGTAGAAGACGTGAGCAGGAAGGATTCACAAACATGTCGCCGCTTTCCCAAAGCAAACAGCCACAACCACACAACCCTCACAAACCTCGCAACCCTCACTCCCCTCTCCCCTGTCCTGTTCCCCTATACCCCCCCTCTTCCTGGAACTCACTTCCTTCAGGGACGCAGCTTCCAGGCAGCTCCCCATTGACAAATCCGGGGTGGCAGTCACACGTGGGCACTCTGTTGGGCCCATCCACGTAGCACGAGCCATGCCCGCCGCACGGGGGATCGGCAGCACTCACGCCGCAAAACACATCACAGAGCTCCTCCGGCCGCTGCACCGCTGCATCCACAGCAGAGGGCGTGGCAGGCGTGGGTCGTTGCAGTCGCAGTGGTTGCTGGCCCCATCAGGCGTGGGCGTGCACGTGAAGTTGCCACAGGGGTTGAAGAGCGGCCCATCCACCCCACTGGTGGTGCCAAAACGATTCAGAGAAACAGAGTAGTTTACTCTGATCAAATTCCCCTCCCGGGCCTACAACCAGGAAACCATGGGTCAAGGTTCGCATTTCCCGGCCTTGATCTTCACTTGGTCCGGAATGCACACCCTGGTCGACTTAACGAGCTTATCGATGCAATCGTAGCCGTTGGTCTTCCTGTAGCACCCTTTGATTCCACGGAAGTACTTGACCTGCAGGCCAGTGCAGCGGTCGCCAGTCCCAACCACGTACGCACGAGTCTTGGGGCACACTCCTTGCATGAAGCTGAATGAGCTGCCTATGCACGCCTGCACTTGCCGTGCAGTCAAGTGCGGGTGGGGAGGAGGGGGGAGAGGGCGGGGGCAGGGGGAAAGAGGGGGTGAGAGAGTGGAAGGGGAGAAAGGCATGGAGTTGGTAAGTACGTAGGTAGGTAAGTAACCAGCTGCACAGAGATACATGACGGTGAGGTGAAATTGGAGGTGTGTGTGCATGCATGCTGAATGAGCGGCGGCAGACAGCAAAGCACAGATGGTTCTCATGGTCTAGAGGTGCGGACTGGAGGAGTGACGGTGTGGAGGGAAGAGTTATGGCAGAGGGTAGTGTGGTCAAAGAGTAGGGCAGACCTCGAAGCCTGTAATGCTGCCAACGTCACGAGGCGGCTGCACTTGATGCCAGGGTTGAGGCGGAAGAACTCGAGAGGGGAGAGCGGCGGGGAGGGGCGGATCTGGTCGCACGTCTCCCCGGCCTGCACCAGATAGAACTGCGAGCACACCGGGATGAGCAGCGCCGCTGCACTCTCCGCCCGCCGCTCCACACACACCGCCTGGCTGGGCAGCAGCACCCCGTTGCTGTCATCAGAGGAGTCCAGCCCGGGGTTGAGCGCCTGGAAGGCTGCTGCGCAGGGCTCAGTGGGAGTGGGGCAGCCGGCGGTGAGGGAGAAGTAGGTGGCTAGCGACTCACATGTGTCGCCCTGGGGGGTTGGGAGCGAGGAATGGAGAGGAGGGGGGAGAATGGGGGAGGAGAGTGGAGGATGAGAGAGAAGGATGAAAGAGAAGGATGAAAGGAGATAAGGGGGGGGGAAATAGGCAGAAAGGCAGTCCCGGGTTGAGAGCCTGGAAAGCTGCTGTGTAGGGCGGGGGCCAAGGTGGGCTCGGTGGTGGGATCTTGGGCAGGGAAACCGTTGGAGAGAGATATGTAGACTGCCAATGAGACACACTTGTCCTCCGGTGGGAGGATGGTGAGAGCAGAGGACGATAGGAGAGCAAGGAGGGTGGGAAGCCAGGTGGGGTATTGGGCAAGGGGAAGAGGAGAGAGCATGCGTGTGTGGGTAGAGAGTAGGCAGGGAGACTGGTGGGAGACGGTCGTGTGCAAGGAGGGGCATGGAGGTAGCGAGGAGAAGAGATTCGGGATTAAAAGGCACGGAATTTCGGGTCTTAGTAGAGCGGTTCAGGACATGGAGGGCTGCTGGGGGTAGGCAGAAAGGGAGAGGGAGGGAGTAAGGGAGAGAGTGTGGTAGGCAGGAAGGAAAGGGAGGGAGGCAGGCAGGGGGAGAGGAGGGAGAAGGCGGACCTCTGACGTGGTGTAGTAGACGGAGCAAGGAGTGAGGTCGGCTGGCTGGACCTCGTTCACCACCGTGCCGATAGCAAGAGGAGCGCTACAGCTCAGACCCTGGTGGGGAAGGGGGAGGGGAGTAGGCAGGGGCGGGTGGAGGAGATGGGCGAGGGGATAGGGCATGCCAGGTGTGAGGGGTGAAGGGGAGATCAGGCGTGAAGAGACTGGGCAGAAATTTACGGAGAGTGGGGAAGAGGGAGATGAATGTGAAGGTAGAAAGTTCTCAAGAAGCAACAGGAAGGCATGGGCCCACTACGAGGCTCGTCGGATTGTGGGCGTGGAAGTAGGCTCACGGGGTTCTGGGCTAGCAGTTGAGCGAGAGCGAGGTCGTAGACAGGGTGGATGTCGGCACACGTGACACCCCACGACACCACCGTGTATGTGCTACTGGAGTCGCCTGTGCAGTGCGGTGGAGTGTGGTGCAGATGGATGTGCGGTGCAGATGCAGTGGTGCGGAAGGAGCGGTGTAGAAGGGAATGGGTGCGGTTGTTGGGCATGAGAGGATATGGAGGTGAATGGGAAGTGATGGTAATGATGGTGGATTACGCGATGGTGCAATGTGTGATGGTGCATGATCTATCAGTATGCTTTGTAGCAGCATTACGTGAACAAGAGTGGGAACAAGTGGATCTCAGAATGAGATGCATCTGAAGTGCAAGAAAGGGAGGTTACCTGGAGCACAGGAGAAGGTGCCATCAACAGTGGTGCCCTGCCTGAAGCCCGGAGGGCACACACACGAGAACGACCCCTTGCCATCATTCACACACGTGCCCACTGCACATGGATTGTGCAATGCTGCCCTGCATGCGTCCTCTGGGGATCAAGGCAAGACATGAAAGACATGGAACTCGGTCATGATCTTCTCAGTGACAAGGGCACAACTTGCATGTGCTCTGAGACATGACAGCATCACACGAGGTAGCACAGGAGAGAGCGGCAACTGTAACCAAAGGGGAGAACACTCACTGTAAGCACAGGTGCGAGAGTTGTCCGGTTGAAGCGCCTCGACGAATCGCAGGTCGTTGCAGTCGCAGTGGTTGCTGGCCCCATCAGGCGTGGGCGTGCACGTGAAGTTGCCACAGGGGTTGAAGAGCGGCCCATCCACCCCACTGGTGGTGCCGTTGACGTTGCAGGGGTCCTTGGCAGCGTGCACCACCGGGTAGATCCCAGGCAGCGTGTTGATCCCACACACGCCGTCGCCCCCCTGGATGTCCATCCGCATGTGCCCGCCGTCGCCCCACTCCGGGCCCCATGAGTTGCGGATGATCCAGAAGGGCGGCGCCATGTGCGGGAACGTGGGGTCTGAGCTGGTGAGGCGATAGCCCACCAGCAGCACCACGTGGTTCAGGTTGTACGTGAAGCACGAGGGGTCTGCGTACTTGGATAGCTGGGTTGGGAAGGGGAAGGGGGGGTGCGGGGGAGAAGTGAGGGGTGCACGGGTATGGAATGAAATGTGGGACACGTGGTTGACATTGCAGCAGAGGCTCGACTCCCATTCTCCACAGTACATCTACCGGCCCTCAAAGGTGTGCGAGTGTGTGTGTGTGTGTGTGTGTGTGTGTGTTTGTTTGTGTGTGTGTGTGTATGTGTGTGTGTGTGTATGAGTTAGAGTGGGCTCACCCCATCATAGTCAAGAAAGGAGGGGGCGGTGGCCTGCACATGCACCACCACGGGCTGTCGCTGCACGGCCAGCAGCAGCCCAAACCAGCCGTGGAACGCCGTGCGCTCAAACCCGTTCACTCTGAACGCCCCCCCCGATGGCTTGCTCTGCCGTAGGGGTGATAGGAGAGGGGGATAGGGGAGGAGAGGTACGGGTGGAAGGGTGGAGGTGTAGGAGAGGGGGATAGGGGAGGGGTAGGGGGGAAGGGCGGGGGCATACGAGAGGTGATGAAGGGGAGGGGGGTTAGGAGAGAGGGTATGTGGGATGTGGTGGTGAAGGTCAACGTGCTTGGTGCAGCTGCACCCTGAGGGTGTGTGTGAGGATGTGCTCCGTCTTGTGCTGGCCACGCTGCACACAGCTGTGTGCACCCTAAGCTGGCCTTGACCTCGCAAAACAAAGGAAGTAGTGGTGCAACTGCAAAAGCGCCTTAAGCGGGCCACAAACGAAGGAAATAGGGGCGGATAGATGTCAGTCAGTGTGCTTTGACTGACTGTGGTAGACAGATGGTCCTTTCTGAGATGTGTAGTGTGACCTGTCCACGTGGATGTGACCTCCCTATTGGAGCAAGTTGCCTCTCTTCATGAGTGCAAAATCAGGTGACTTTTGAGTCGACTCAAGAGTCACCTCTTCATGAGTGCAAATCCTTGTCACAATATCGCTTTTGAGAATTCTCAAAAGCGTAGTTCTTTGCCAGTAGACATTGTATGCGAGTGCAACTAATTATGTAGGTCCTTTCAAACAAGGACCGCAAATCTCAAGGCAGCCTCATTCTAACAACAACAGTGTCAGGCCGCCCCTCACAACAATGGATTGTAGTAGGCACATGACGAGATATCTGAGGAGGTCAATACACCTGGCAATGGAGATGGCACCTGATGAGGGATTTGAGATGCTAAGAATATATAGCATGACAAGACAATGGGCCGGAGTAGGCACCTGGTTCAGAATCCATGAGGCACGTGGTCAGGCACCTTCCTTGACACATCTGATGAAACAACTGGAAATTACTAGACGGATCAGGCACTTTCTGTGGACGTTTTTTTTAGAAATCCCAACCAGGTGAATCCAATTGTACTTGCATTCAAATGAAAACATTGACAGTAGAATAAAAAATCCAGGAAAGAGAAGTAACTTACAGATCCTGGGGCGGGTGTGGCCTCTGCCGAACAAAACCCACATTAGGCCGCCTAGCGCCAAACAAAGGAAAACAAGGTAAGAAAAGGCAGCATACCGATCCGGGGGCCCTGCCTTTGCCGCAGGAGATCCCAAGCGCTTGCACGAGCAGAGCAAAGATGGGCATGTCACACAGCGGGCTCTGCCTGCCACTCTTCTTGCCCCCCCTCCCTCTCACCACCGCCTCAGCCCCATCCTCCATGAGCCCCACTTTGCTCTTGGCGGATGAGGGTGACGAGGTACTGGAAGGCCTGGGAGGGCGAGTTGCCCTGCGAGCATGAGGATCCGAGGGCTTCACGCAGCTGGGTGTGAGAGAGGAGCGGCACTGCGGAGAGGTTGAAGAGAATGCTGTAGGCCACTTCTACACTGCCCACCACCGCGTACGCCCAGCAGTCGCCTGAGAGAGAGGAGTGGGGGAAATGGAATCAGGGTGGGGTTGAAGTGATGGGAAGTTAAAGTGCGTTTGTATGCTGCCCAAGACTGTGTATGCCCAGCAGTTAGCTGGATGGGAAAACGGGAGGGGGCACAATGGACAAGCCTTCCCTCTCATGACCTCCCTCTCGCCCTTTTAGCCCCAAGTGAAGGAAAACGATCACATTCCATCCCACACATCTCATCCCATCCCATTCCATCCCATCCCATCCCATCCCATCCCATCCCATCCCATCCCATCCCATCCCATCCCATCCCATCACATCACATGCAATTATATTGTATCCTGTCCCATCCCCTCCCTTCCCCTCCCCTCACCTCCTCTCCCCTCCCCTCCCATCCCAAATCTTCCAATACCCCTCCCTCCTCTTTCCTCCACTCCCCTCCCCTCCCCTCCCCTCCCGCCCCCTCCCCTCCCCTCCCGTCCCGTCCCCTCCACTCCCCTACCCTCCACTCGACTACCCTCCCCTCAACTCACCTCCCCTCCCTTCGCCTCCCCCCTCCTCCCCTCCCTGCCCTTCCCACCCCCACCCCCATGCCCTCACCACAGGCGCCCTGGTTCTGGACAGGCCACGGCAGCCCCTGGTCGGCCCAGGAGAACGCCTGGCTCACAACCCATACCTCCTCCTCCTCGCCCCCTCCGCCTCCGCCCCCCCCTCCTCCGCCTGCTGGCTGCACTGCCTGCACGCCCACACTGGCGTAGCGGAAAAACAGGTTCGCCCCCACTGGTGCCAGCGATGCCTCGCTGAAACGGAACCCAAATTGCTGGCCTGGAGAAGGGAAAGGGGGGAGATAGGGGGGGGAGAGAGGGGGGAGGGGAGGAGAGGGGAGGGGATGGTGAGTTAGTATAGGGTAGGGTAGGGTAGGGGTGGTTGGGGTAGGATAGGGTAAAATAGGGTGAGGGTGGGGTAGGCAGGGTAGGAGAATGCTGGAATATTTTGCGATATAGTGGAAAGAAGCCCATGGATGAAGAGGTGGTGAGCGTGGTGAGGAAGATGAGGAGGGAGATTAAAGGAAGGGCTGAAGGAGGATTGGGGGATGGACATGGTGGAAAAATGAAATGGGGATTGGGAGAAGTACGGGGGATGACTTGTGGGAGGATTGGGGCAAGGATTGGACGACCAAAGGGTGACTCGGGTCAATCATACCTGTAAGAGTGGTTGGTTCCGGGAGACCTGGAAAGAAAAAGAAAAACAGAGAGACAGAAAAGTGAAGTGGGGAGAGGCAGATGGATGAACGAATAGACAGCAACAACTGCGAGGGAGAACAGAGGTAGCACATGGCATCATGGAGCAAAACAGAACAGCAAGAAGCAGGAGAGAGAAGCAGAAAGTGGCACAGAGCAGCAGGGATGGAACATCAGAGAGCTTCAAGGAGCAGCAATAAGTACCTGTGGTGATGTTCCAGGCGAGGATGGAGTGGAGCTGCGGGGAGTCAGAGGAGGAAGCAGAGAAGCCCATGAGGAACGACGCCTCCTCTGCACTGGGCTGCAGGAACTCGCACAGCGACACCTGCATCGCCACCACTGCCTTGCCAGGCCGAGGGGACCCCTTGGCCGACAGAAACACCCGCAGCCACCCCGTGCCTTCACTACTGCTGCTGCCATAGCCAGTGCTGGCAGAAGAACCAGAGGAGGAAGGGGAAGGATCGAAGATGATCCAGGCGTGCTTTGGAGTGCCGTCGTTGAGAGTAAAGGGCGCTTTGGCAGTTGCGATGGAAGAGGTGTTGCCCCTCACACTCACTCCCACGTGGTTCTTATTCGGGTCGTTGGCATCGGTGCTCCTGGCAGTGTCAAACTCCACTGCAATGCTGCGCTCATCCATGCCTGCATACCCCAAACTGTAGCCGCCACCACTGCCGTCACTGCTGCCACTGCTCCCGCCTGTAGCAGCGTCACTGGCTGCAATCACAAATGCAAACCCATCCCCTGCGTCACCCGCCGCTGTGGCTGCTGCCCTGCGGGCGGTGGCTGGTTTGAGAATGGAGAAGGAGAAATAGACGGTGAAGGCCAAGGGGCGGCCGCAGGCACCGGCCTTGAGGGCGAAGGAGAAGAGTGGGATGGGCAGCTGGAGGAACGCTGCACCCCACGTGTTGGGCTGTGAGGCTGTGAGCGTGATGCGGCCGTTGCTTGCCACTGCCGCCCTCCCCTTCACTGCTGTCTGTGCTGCTGTTGGCTGCACGGTCAGTGGGCCGCCCTCCTGGCCTGTTGGTGAGGGAGGGGGCGAGGGCAGGTGGCAAGCGGGCAGAAAGGCACAAGGCAGAGAAGGTCGTGGTTAAAAAGCAGGGCTTTGAGAAGTCCGCGGGAAGAGAAGAGACGGTCTTTGAGGCGCCTCAAGAGCAGGGCAATGTACAAAAGCTCTTCGGCACTTCCAACCCACTTCAACAGCTACCTACATGCAGTGTGACGATTTCCAGGGCGTCTAAAAAACAACACTCTGGGCTGCACACCCCTTCTGGACTAGTGGGGGAGAAAGGGAGCTTGGGATGGCATACAATAGTGGGCCGTTCTGGTGGCGGAATACGTGGTAGGTGCAGGAACGGAAGAAGGTGAGAAGCTTAGGACGTATACTGTCTATCTGTAGAAGACGTGAGCAGGAAGGATTCACAAACATGTCGCCGCTTTCCCAAAGCAAACAGCCACAACCACACAACCCTCACAAACCTCGCAACCCTCACTCCCCTCTCCCCTGTCCTGTTCCCCTATACCCCCCCTCTTCCTGGAACTCACTTCCTTCAGGGACGCAGCTTCCAGGCAGCTCCCCATTGACAAATCCGGGGTGGCAGTCACACGTGGGCACTCTGTTGGGCCCATCCACGTAGCACGAGCCATGCCCGCCGCACGGGGGATCGGCAGCACTCACGCCGCAAAACACATCACAGAGCTCCTCCGGCCGCTGCACCGCTGCATCCACAGCAGAGGGCGTGGCAGGCGTGGGTCGTTGCAGTCGCAGTGGTTGCTGGCCCCATCAGGCGTGGGCGTGCACGTGAAGTTGCCACAGGGGTTGAAGAGCGGCCCATCCACCCCACTGGTGGTGCCGTTGACGTTGCAGGGGTCCTTGGCAGCGTGCACCACCGGGTAGATCCCAGGCAGCGTGTTGATCCCACACACGCCGTCGCCCCCCTGGATGTCCATCCGCATGTGCCCGCCGTCGCCCCACTCCGGGCCCCATGAGTTGCGGATGATCCAGAAGGGCGGCGCCATGTGCAGGAACGTGGGGTCTGAGCTGGTGAGGCGATAGCCCACCAGCAGCACCACGTGGTTCAGGTTGTACGTGAAGCACGAGGGGTCTGCGTACTTGGATAGCTGGGTTGGGAAGGGGAAGGGGGGGTGCGGGGGAGAAGTGAGGGGTGCACGGGTATGGAATGAAATGTGGGACACGTGGTTGACATTGCAGCAGAGGCTCGACTCCCATTCTCCACAGTACATCTACCGGCCCTCAAAGGTGTGCGAGTGTGTGTGTGTGTGTGTGTGTGTGTGTGTTTGTTTATGTGTGTGTGTATGTGTGTGTGTGTGTATGAGTTAGAGTGGGCTCACCCCATCATAGTCAAGAAAGGAGGGGGCGGTGGCCTGCACATGCACCACCACGGGCTGTCGCTGCACGGCCAGCATAGGAAAGAACTTGCTCAAATACTATGGCCTCTTAGGCTTAGGACTTATGAAGTACGAGATGCTTAGGCAACGGGCATGTTGAGGGGAAGTGACGAAACAAAAGAGGGTTCACTAAAGGGCCAAAGGCCCGAGCTATACAAGAAAAACGCAAGGAGAGGTGCACCACCAAACAGGAAATATAACTACACTAAGCTCTACTGTTGGCAGTTATCTAAATGTATACAGATATATTTTAACAGTTAGGGGTACGCCAACATGTCTGTTCCCGATACATATTACATTTACATTTTAAAAATACAATTACACATCAGAGTGCCCAAAACAAACACCCGACAGGATAGACAAAAAATCAAATGAAGAAAATGTCAGCAGAATGAACGAGAATGGATTGAACTAGCAGCATGCAGGAGTACAAGTAGCAAACACTAATTGGGTTGTACCCCATATGGGCTACCCCACTACAGCCTACACAACATGCAGCATATAAGTTTGACACACCCCCATAGGCAAAGTGGGGGAGAACAAGAGGTCACAAGACCAGTCAAGAAAAGCAAAGCAAGCTCAGGGTGGATCAAGAAGTCACCACACACTCTGAGCACAAGCAAATGGCCACAAGGCCAGTTCACATGCAAAGTTATATAATACAGAACAAGCAGTACAGTTATCAAAACCTAGCAAGTGTAACCATGCAGGTATAAGTATATAGATCACAGTACAAGCAGAGTCAAGAAGTGAGCAAGTGAGGCCAAGTAGGCACAAGGCCTAGAACAGTACAGAAACGCTAATGATCACAAGGCATTTTGCCTTGGTGAAGATATCAGCAGTGTTGGCCCGAGAGGCCATGTAAACAAGACGAAGCTGACCATGCTGCTGCAACTCACGAGCAAGGAAGTAGCGCAAAGCGATGTGCTTTGTCCTGACCTCCAGTCTGTGCTCCTGACACAAGGCAATCATGGCCTTGTTGTCGACATACAAAACTGGAGGAGAACGAGGCAGCTCTCCCAAATCGGTCAGCAGGTAGGTGAGCCAGCGTAACTCCTGTGCAGCCATGGCCCCTGCGTAGATCTCAGCCTCACAACTGGAACTGAGAACAGAAGACGAGCGGGTAGACCGCCAAGAAAGAGAGCCGGAGCCAAGGCTGAAAGTGTAACCCTGTGACGTCCGCTGCGTAGCCAAGTCGTCAACCCAAGAGGCGTCTGCGTGTCCAGTGAGGACAACTGGACCCCGTCCTCCAAGCACGAGCCCCATGCCCGACGTACTGCACAAGTAGCGCATCACCCTCTTAGTGGCCTTCCAGTGCTCTGGTAGGTGTCTCCCGGGCGCAACGTAGCGTGCCAGGATGCTAAGAGGGTAAGCAAGGTCAGGTCGAGTGCAGGTCATCGGGTACATGAGGCAGCCCACAAGCTCTGGATACAGGCCACTCGGCTCTACGGACTCGTCCGAAGGTGGAGCTGAGAGCGAGTGACCAGTAGGCAGAGGAGTGGCCTGTGGCGAGGAGTACTGGAAGTCGAAGCGCTGAAGGACCTGCTGCACCATGTGTGACTGAGTCAAGGTAATGGTGCGCCGTGCTCTGTCCCGGGTGATCTGCAAGCCAAGATAGCTGCGCAGCTCACCCAGGTCTGTGCACGTGTGTCTCTTCTGCAGCTCCGATTTCACTAGGGCCAGTCCCTCAGTGTCAGCAGTGGCAAAGACCAAGTCGTCGACGTACACGAGGATGTAGAACGGCGGCAGCGAAGTGTCGGTGCGTAGAAACAGCGACGGGTCAGCAGTGGAAGGAGCAAACCCAAGAGCCATAAGCGTCGTCCTCAGTGTGTCGTGCCACTCGCGAGGCGCCTGGCAGAGACCGTAGACTGGCCGCCGGAGGCTCCACTGGGTACCTGCAGGAAACGACCCAGTGAAGCCAGGTGGGCGGCGCAGCCAGATCTCCTCGTGCAGGCTGCCCTGTAAGAAAGCTGTGCTACAGTCAAGAGAGTGAAGCTCGTAGTCACGCTGAGCGGCGACGTTCAGCAGCACCCGAAGAGTGGTCATCTTCGGGGTAGGGGAGAAGGTCTGGAAGAAGTCAACTCCCTATCGCTGACTGAAGCCTCGTGCAACGTAACGCGCCTTGAAGACAGGCGGAGAGCCCGGCGGCCGCTTCACCCTGAAAATCCACATGCCACTGACGATGTTCGGCCCAGGTGGGGGAACCTTGTCGACGTAAGTGCCTGTGGACTTCCAGGATGCCATCTCTGCGTCCATGGCTGTCTGCCAATGAGAGGAGTAGGGACCCTCAATCGCCTCTGCGTAAGAGCGCGGGGTCGGGATGTCTGGTGCATCCGGGTCTCCCTCAGGTGCAATCAGCATGGACACAAGATGAGGTACAGCAGCTGCAAAACACTCAAAGTCCTCCTACCTGTCCTCAAGGACGTCCGTGCCAAGAGCACACTCACCCCCGACAGACGGAGGACAGACAGACTCAGACTCGGCAACAAGACTAGCGGCATAGTCGAGGCGACAGGCGGCAGCAAAGTCAACAAGCTCAACAACTAGGGCAGACGCAGCAGTGGACTCAAACGAAGGGTCAGAGACAACAGTAGCTTGTAGACGTCTGACAGTAGGACTGGCAGCACGACCAAGGTATGACGGCAGGTCAGGAACGTCAGGAAGAGAGGACGCAGGAGGAGACGACAGAGGGACACGCTATGGACCAGAGGAAGGACGAAGTGCCATCTTGTGCGTGCCAGGGACAGGAGGAGGACGCTGACGCAGAACACAACGACCAGTGCGAATAGCGCAAACAGGTGACGCAGGACGAGACGCACGCTTACGACACTCTGTAGGACCTCTTGGCTGCTCAGTGTAGGGAGAAGGAGCAGGCAGTGGGGAGGCTGGCTGTAACTGCGGCTGCGTCTCGTCACGCAGTGGACACAGGAAGGGAGGAGTAAGGCCAGTGGAAGGCGGGAGACCAAGAACCTGCTAAAGTAGTGGAACGAAGTACGGTCGCGGCCGCACAGTGCCTCCAGAACCAGCACCGACAGCACCAGCACCCCCAAGGCCAGCACCTCCAGCTCCAGGGTCTCCAGCTCCAACGCCAGCACCACCACCAGCTCCAGCAGCCCTAGTACCTCCTGCAGCTCCAGCTCCAGCTCCTCCAACTCCAGCAGCACCTCCAGCTCCAGCAGCTCCAGTACCTCCTGTACGAGCACCTCCGGGACCAGCGGCTCCAGTTCCTCCAGTACGAGCACCTCCGGGACCAGCAGCACCAGCACCTCCAGCAGCTCCAGCTCCAGCGCCCCCAGCGCCAACTCCTGCAGCACCTCCAGCTCCAGCAGCTCCAGTACCTCCAGCTCCAGGGTCTCTAGCGGCAAGCCCCCCAGCTCCAGCAGCGCCACTCCGAAGGCTCCAGCGCCGAGAAAACCACTCCCGCAGCTGCGGTGGAGAAAGAGGCTCCCGTCGGGACGAGGCACTTGTAGGACCTCTAGGCTCAGCACCCCAAGGCTCAGCACCCACAGGCTCCGCACGCTCAGGCTCAGTACCCCTAGGCTCCGTACGCTCAGGCTCAGCACCCCTAGATGCAGCACCCCTAGTAGCACCACCTCCAGCAGCACCAGACTCTACAGCGACCTCGACAGGCTCGACAGGGTCTACCTGAGACACACCTGAGGGAGCAGGACCCTGAGGGAAGAGGGGGTCTACCGGAGGAGGATTTGGTGTGAGGAAGAGCGGCGGGGGGGGGGGGGGGGGGGGGGGGGAGGGGGAGAGGAGCAGTGCGGTAGGGGAAGAGACGGTAAAAGGGAACCGACTCGTCAAACGTGACGTCCTGAGAGGGCAGGACCCGGCGCGAGGTGGGGTGGTAAAACTGCCAGCCAGGCGCGTCAGGGGGAAAGCCAAGGAAGACGCAGGGAATGGCGCGGGAGGAGAGCTTGTCCGCGGACGTATTGCGGACAAAGGCACAGGAGCCCTAGACCCGGAACACCGACGCATCGCCAACCTTCCCCGTCCAACGCAGTGTAGGCAAGGTCTCCGGCAAGGAGACACGGGGCCAGAGTTTGAGCTGATGCGCAGCGTACCGGACCGCAAATGGCCACAGAAAATGGGGGGCAGCCGCATGGATCATGGAGGTACGAGCGACCTCCATGACTAAGCCAATGCGGCGCTCAGCAACCCCATTCTGCTGCGGAGAGGCCGGAAGCGTGAACGACTGGCGAATGCCCTCCCCACGACAGAAGTCCCTCAAGAGGTCGGAGGAAAACTCACCACCTCTGTCAGAGTGCAGACGCAGGACTGGAAGGTCCGTGTGGAACCGCTCGCGGAGCTGGAGACGGACTGCGCGGATCCAAGGGATCAAAACATCAGGGACCTCCCCCTTGCTGCGCAAGGGGAAGACCGTGGTGTAACGCGAGTAGTCGTCAACAACCAGCAGAAAGTAGCGCTCGCGGCCCTGTCCACGGACGCGGGCTGGGCCCCACACATCCATGTGGAGAGTCGGCAGGGGAGCATTCGTCGGGGGAAACGAGGAGTGAGGAGCGGCGCGCTGCCGCCCCTCAACACAGGGAAGGCAGGGAGGAGCAGGCGAGGGTGGGAGGGGAGGCAGAGACCTGGGGAGACCAGAGACAAGGACACGGGAGTGCATGCCACGGAGGCGCTGCACGGAGGGGTGACCAAGGCGGTGGTGCCAAAGGAGCGTCCGGTGTGACAGGGCGCGACACGAGCATGGGGCCGCTAGTTGACCTGACGCAGACGCAGACGCAGCTACCTGAGGAGGCTCAGTAGTCAGTGTGTACAGACTCAGCCCAGGCCGACGGGTGAACGTGGCCAGGTGCCGGCCAGTCCGGGAGCACGTACAGTTCGCCACACGCTGTCCTCCAGGGGTGAAGGTGTCAACCCATTCATCCTGAAGGACGGCGTTGCTCACCAAGTTCGTAGAGAACGAGGGGAGGTGAAGACCTGACAGTGAGCCAGTCGGAACCGCCGGACACGGGAGAACAGTGGAGGAACGTGCAAGGACTGGGCCCCCAGAGGGGTCAGCCAGAGAGACTGCAACAGGTGCAGGGAGTGGTGTGACTGTGGTACTGTTGCGAAAGAAACAGCGGGAAGCACCTGAGTCAAGCGTGAAGGTGTGTAAGGCCGCAGCAGGCGCAGTACTAGAGAGAGCAGACTCACTAGCACCTAGAGCAGCAGACTCACTAGCACCTAGAGCAGCAGCCTCTATACCTGGGTCGGGCGGCATACACAGGTAACAGTCACCCTCAGCACTAACAGGCAATGCATACATGGCAGCAAGGATAGCATCATAATCAAGAGCAAAGATATCCACACCCTGCCTAAGCAGCTCTGCCCAGCGGGGGAGCTCAGTCGCGTCGGGAAACTCTGCGCGAAAGGCGTTGTCAAGATGGGAGAAGCAGCGGTGCTGGGTGTGAAACTTCCCGCATGTCTGACCAGAGCGGTCACCTGTGCGAATGACATACGGGCAGCGACCACTACCCCCAGACGCCCCACGCTGAGCAAACCACTCACGAAGCTTCTGGGGCGAAGGGGTCTCACGCTGACGCTGCTGCTGCTGCCTTTGACCACCGCCAAAGCCTCCCCTCTGACTGGTACCACCCCAGCCGCCACCACTGCCGCCGCCCCCACTCCCACCGCCGCCACCACTGCCGCCGCCACCACTCCCACTGCCGCCACCACCGCCTCCACCGACGCCTCCACCCCCACCACCACTCCCTCCGCCACCACCACCACCTCCACCGACTCCACCGCCCCCACCACCGCCTCCACCGCTGCCACCCGCACCGCCCCTGCCTCCCCTGCCCCTGCTGCTGCGGCGCCTCCCACTAGGGGCAGACGCAGCTCCTACCTCCTCAGCACGAAGGTATTAAACAGCTGCAGCAGAGGCGACTGAGGGGACAAGGGGGGAGGGCGAACACCCCTCAAAGAAGGGAGTCCGAGGAGTGCCACGAGAAGCGCCTACAGCGACTATGCTAGTCTTAGCTGCTAGGAGGTGCTTCTCGAGCAGGTCGACAGTGAGGTCTGTGGGGTCAAGCGCGAGAAGGAGGTCCCTGACTGCGCTAAGAGAGTCAGGGAGGCGGGTGACCATGAAGTAGAGAGTGATGTACATGGGAGGAGGGTTCTTGGCGAGGAACTCGGCGGGAAGTGCAGCGCGGTAGCGAGTGTCACTAGTGCGAAGGTGAGTGACGAGGTCGGCGACTGTGGCAAAAGCGGACAGCTCGGGGAACAGGTAGGGGAGGAGAAGGCGGCCTAGAGTAGCAGTGGCCGGGGAGGAGTAACGAGCAACTACACCGTCGTACAGGGCTCTAGCAGTCTTGTGCTGGCCAAAGTGAGCGAGTTCGGCTAACGGCAGGTGGTTGCGAACGGCTAGGCGAGCAGCAGCGTCACGGGTAAGCCACTGTGAGCGAGTCACACTGTCAGCTGTGGCGGCAGGGGCGAGAGAGACTCCTGACGTGAGGTCAAACAGCGAAACACCGTCTTTGATATCGCTCAGTAAGTACAGCTGTAAGTCATCGAGCCACGCATCGAACTCTATCGGGCGGCCCTCCGGATCGAAAGTGAGGACGCTGAGAGTGGCCATAGCGGGCAGAGCAGTCGGGCGCGCTAGCAGCAGGGCAGCACGCAGGCAGGGCAAGGCAGGGCGGCGGCCAGCAAGACGGCATGCAGGCAGGGCAGGGCGGCGCGGCGGCGAGCGGCGCTCAGGCAGGGCGGCGCGCTAGCAGGGCGGTGGCGCGGCGGCGAGCAGCGCGCGGGCAGGGCGGCGCGGCGGCGAGCGATGCGCGGGCAGGGCAGGGCGCGCGGCAGCGAGCAGCGCGCGGGCAGGGCAGGGCGCGCGGCGGCGAGTGGCGCGCGGGCAGAGCGACGCGGCGCGGCGGCGAGCGGCGCGCGGGTAGGGCAGGGCGCGCGGCGGCGAGTAACACGCGGGCAGGGCGGCGCGCGGGCAGGGCAGGGCGCGCGGCAGCGAGCAGCGCGCGGGCAGGGCAGGGCAAGACGTGCGCGGGCAGCGCGACGCAGGGCAGGGTAGGGCAGCGCGGTGCTAACAGGGCGGCGCGACGTGTGGGGTAGCGCGATTCGGTGGGCCCCTAAAACAAAATCGGTCGTAGGCTAGGACATGCTCTGAAACCATGTCAGCAGAATGAACGAGAATGGATTGAACTAGCAGCATGCAGGAGTACAAGTAGCAAACCCTAATTGGGTTGTACCCCATATGGGCTCACTACAGCCTACACAACATGCAGCATATAAGTTTGACAGAAAAACCCCTAGGCCACCAGGGCACTTTCAAAAAACGATTCAGAGAAATAGAGTAGTTTACTCTGATCAAATTCCCCTCCCGGGCCTACAACCAGGAAACCATGGGTCAAGGTTCGCATTTCCCGGCCTTGATCTTCACTTGGTCCGGAATGCACACCCTGGTCGACTTAACGAGCTTATCGATGCAATCGTAGCCGTTGGTCTTCCTGTAGCACCCTTTGATTCCACGGAAGTACTTGACCTGCAGGCCAGTGCAGCGGTCGCCAGTCCCAACCACGTACGCACGAGTCTTGGGGCACACTCCTTGCATGAAGCTGAATGAGCTGCCTATGCACGCCTGCACTTGCCGTGCAGTCAAGTGCGGGTGGGGAGGAGGGGGGAGAGGGCGGGGGCAGGGGGAAAGAGGGGGTGAGAGAGTGGAAGGGGAGAAAGGCATGGAGTTGGTAAGTACGTAGGTAGGTAAGTAACCAGCTGCACAGAGATACATGACGGTGAGGTGAAATTGGAGGTGTGTGTGCATGCATGCTGAATGAGCGGCGGCAGACAGCAAAGCACAGATGGTTCTCATGGTCTAGAGGTGCGGACTGGAGGAGTGACGGTGTGGAGGGAAGAGTTATGGCAGAGGGTAGTGTGGTCAAAGAGTAGGGCAGACCTCGAAGCCTGTAATGCTGCCAACGTCACGAGGCGGCTGCACTTGATGCCAGGGTTGAGGCGGAAGAACTCGAGAGGGGAGAGCGGCGGGGAGGGGCGGATCTGGTCGCACGTCTCCCCGGCCTGCACCAGATAGAACTGCGAGCACACCGGGATGAGCAGCGCCGCTGCACTCTCCGCCCGCCGCTCCACACACACCGCCTGGCTGGGCAGCAGCACCCCGTTGCTGTCATCAGAGGAGTCCAGCCCGGGGTTGAGCGCCTGGAAGGCTGCTGCGCAGGGCTCAGTGGGAGTGGGGCAGCCGGCGGTGAGGGAGAAGTAGGTGGCTAGCGACTCACATGTGTCGCCCTGGGGGGTTGGGAGCGAGGAATGGAGAGGAGGGGGGAGAATGGGGGAGGAGAGTGGAGGATGAGAGAGAAGGATGAAAGAGAAGGATGAAAGGAGATAAGGGGGGGGGAAATAGGCAGAAAGGCAGTCCCGGGTTGAGAGCCTGGAAAGCTGCTGTGTAGGGCGGGGGCCAAGGTGGGCTCGGTGGTGGGATCTTGGGCAGGGAAACCGTTGGAGAGAGATATGTAGACTGCCAATGAGACACACTTGTCCTCCGGTGGGAGGATGGTGAGAGCAGAGGACGATAGGAGAGCAAGGAGGGTGGGAAGCCAGGTGGGGTATTGGGCAAGGGGAAGAGGAGAGAGCATGCGTGTGTGGGTAGAGAGTAGGCAGGGAGACTGGTGGGAGACGGTCGTGTGCAAGGAGGGGCATGGAGGTAGCGAGGAGAAGAGATTCGGGATTAAAAGGCACGGAATTTCGGGTCTTAGTAGAGCGGTTCAGGATATGGAGGGCTGCTGGGGGTAGGCAGAAAGGGAGAGGGAGGGAGTAAGGGAGAGAGTGTGGTAGGCAGGAAGGAAAGGGAGGGAGGCAGGCAGGGGGAGAGGAGGGAGAAGGCGGACCTCTGACGTGGTGTAGTAGACGGAGCAAGGAGTGAGGTCGGCTGGCTGGACCTCGTTCACCACCGTGCTGATAGCAAGAGGAGCGCTACAGCTCAGACCCTGGTGGGGAAGGGGGAGGGGAGTAGGCAGGGGCGGGTGGAGGAGATGGGCGAGGGGATAGGGCATGCCAGGTGTGAGGGGTGAAGGGGAGATCAGGCGTGAAGAGACTGGGCAGAAATTTACGGAGAGTGGGGAAGAGGGAGATGAATGTGAAGGTAGAAAGTTCTCAAGAAGCAACAGGAAGGCATGGGCCCACTACGAGGCTCGTCGGATTGTGGGCGTGGAAGTAGGCTCACGGGGTTCTGGGCTAGCAGTTGAGCGAGAGCGAGGTCGTAGACAGGGTGGATGTCGGCACACGTGACACCCCACGACACCACCGTGTATGTGCTACTGGAGTCGCCTGTGCAGTGCGGTGGAGTGTGGTGCAGATGGATGTGCGGTGCAGATGCAGTGGTGCGGAAGGAGCGGTGTAGAAGGGAATGGGTGCGGTTGTTGGGCATGAGAGGATATGGAGGTGAATGGGAAGTGATGGTAATGATGGTGGATTACGCGATGGTGCAATGTGTGATGGTGCATGATCTATCAGTATGCTTTGTAGCAGCATTACGTGAACAAGAGTGGGAACAAGTGGATCTCAGAATGAGATGCATCTGAAGTGCAAGAAAGGGAGGTTACCTGGAGCACAGGAGAAGGTGCCATCAACAGTGGTGCCCTGCCTGAAGCCCGGAGGGCACACACACGAGAACGACCCCTTGCCATCATTCACACACGTGCCCACTGCACATGGATTGTGCAATGCTGCCCTGCATGCGTCCTCTGGGGATCAAGGCAAGACATGAAAGACATGGAACTCGGTCATGATCTTCTCAGTGACAAGGGCACAACTTGCATGTGCTCTGAGACATGACAGCATCACACGAGGTAGCACAGGAGAGAGCGGCAACTGTAACCAAAGGGGAGAACACTCACTGTAAGCACAGGTGCGAGAGTTGTCCGGTTGAAGCGCCTCGACGAATCGCGGGTCGTTGCAGTCGCAGTGGTTGCTGGCCCCATCAGGCGTGGGCGTGCACGTGAAGTTGCCACAGGGGTTGAAGAGCGGCCCATCCACCCCACTGGTGGTGCCGTTGACGTTGCAGGGGTCCTTGGCAGCGTGCACCACCGGGTAGATCCCAGGCAGCGTGTTGATCCCACACACGCCGTCACCCCCCTGGATGTCCATCCGCATGTGCCCGCCGTCGCCCCACTCCGGGCCCCATGAGTTGCGGATGATCCAGAAGGGCGGCGCCATGTGCGGGAACGTGGGGTCTGAGCTGGTGAGGCGATAGCCCACCAGCAGCACCACGTGGTTCAGGTTGTACGTGAAGCACGAGGGGTCTGCGTACTTGGATAGCTGGGTTGGGAAGGGGAAGGGGGGGTGCGGGGGAGAAGTGAGGGGTGCACGGGTATGGAATGAAATGTGGGACACGTGGTTGACATTGCAGCAGAGGCTCGACTCCCATTCTCCACAGTACATCTACCGGCCCTCAAAGGTGTGCGAGTGTGTGTGTGTGTGTGTGTGTGTGTGTGTGTGTTTGTTTGTGTGTGTGTGTGTATATGTGTGTGTGTGTATGAGTTAGAGTGGGCTCACCCCATCATAGTCAAGAAAGGAGGGGGCGGTGGCCTGCACATGCACCACCACGGGCTGTCGCTGCACGGCCAGCAGCAGCCCAAACCAGCCGTGGAACGCCGTGCGCTCAAACCCGTTCACTCTGAACGCCCCCCCCGATGGCTTGCTCTGCCGTAGGGGTGATAGGAGAGGGGGATAGGGGAGGAGAGGTACGGGTGGAAGGGTGGAGGTGTAGGAGAGGGGGATAGGGGAGGGGTAGGGGGGAAGGGCGGGGGCATACGAGAGGTGATGAAGGGGAGGGGGGTTAGGAGAGAGGGTATGTGGGATGTGGTGGTGAAGGTCAACGTGCTTGGTGCAGCTGCACCCTGAGGGTGTGTGTGAGGATGTGCTCCGTCTTGTGCTGGCCACGCTGCACACAGCTGTGTGCACCCTAAGCTGGCCTTGACCTCGCAAAACAAAGGAAGTAGTGGTGCAACTGCAAAAGCGCCTTAAGCGGGCCACAAACGAAGGAAATAGGGGCGGATAGATGTCAGTCAGTGTGCTTTGACTGACTGTGGTAGACAGATGGTCCTTTCTGAGATGTGTAGTGTGACCTGTCCACGTGGATGTGACCTCCCTATTGGAGCAAGTTGCCTCTCTTCATGAGTGCAAAATCAGGTGACTTTTGAGTCGACTCAAGAGTCACCTCTTCATGAGTGCAAATCCTTGTCACAATATCGCTTTTGAGAATTCTCAAAAGCGTAGTTCTTTGCCAGTAGACATTGTATGCGAGTGCAACTAATTATGTAGGTCCTTTCAAACAAGGACCGCAAATCTCAAGGCAGCCTCATTCTAACAACAACAGTGTCAGGCCGCCCCTCACAACAATGGATTGTAGTAGGCACATGACGAGATATCTGAGGAGGTCAATACACCTGGCAATGGAGATGGCACCTGATGAGGGATTTGAGATGCTAAGAATATATAGCATGACAAGACAATGGGCCGGAGTAGGCACCTGGTTCAGAATCCATGAGGCACGTGGTCAGGCACCTTCCTTGACACATCTGATGAAACAACTGGAAATTACTAGACGGATCAGGCACTTTCTGTGGACGTTTTTTTTAGAAATCCCAACCAGGTGAATCCAATTGTACTTGCATTCAAATGAAAACATTGACAGTAGAATAAAAAATCCAGGAAAGAGAAGTAACTTACAGATCCTGGGGCGGGTGTGGCCTCTGCCGAACAAAACCCACATTAGGCCGCCTAGCGCCAAACAAAGGAAAACAAGGTAAGAAAAGGCAGCATACCGATCCGGGGGCCCTGCCTTTGCCGCAGGAGATCCCAAGCGCTTGCACGAGCAGAGCAAAGATGGGCATGTCACACAGCGGGCTCTGCCTGCCACTCTTCTTGCCCCCCCTCCCTCTCACCACCGCCTCAGCCCCATCCTCCATGAGCCCCACTTTGCTCTTGGCGGATGAGGGTGACGAGGTACTGGAAGGCCTGGGAGGGCGAGTTGCCCTGCGAGCATGAGGATCCGAGGGCTTCACGCAGCTGGGTGTGAGAGAGGAGCGGCACTGCGGAGAGGTTGAAGAGAATGCTGTAGGCCACTTCTACACTGCCCACCACCGCGTACGCCCAGCAGTCGCCTGAGAGAGAGGAGTGGGGGAAATGGAATCAGGGTGGGGTTGAAGTGATGGGAAGTTAAAGTGCGTTTGTATGCTGCCCAAGACTGTGTATGCCCAGCAGTTAGCTGGATGGGAAAACGGGAGGGGGCACAATGGACAAGCCTTCCCTCTCATGACCTCCCTCTCGCCCTTTTAGCCCCAAGTGAAGGAAAACGATCACATTCCATCCCACACATCTCATCCCATCCCATTCCATCCCATCCCATCCCATCCCATCCCATCCCATCCCATCCCATCCCATCCCATCCCATCCCATCACATCACATGCAATTATATTGTATCCTGTCCCATCCCCTCCCTTCCCCTCCCCTCACCTCCTCTCCCCTCCCCTCCCATCCCAAATCTTCCAATACCCCTCCCTCCTCTTTCCTCCACTCCCCTCCCCTCCCCTCCCCTCCCGCCCCCTCCCCTCCCCTCCCGTCCCGTCCCCTCCACTCCCCTACCCTCCACTCGACTACCCTCCCCTCAACTCACCTCCCCTCCCTTCGCCTCCCCCCTCCTCCCCTCCCTGCCCTTCCCACCCCCACCCCCATGCCCTCACCACAGGCGCCCTGGTTCTGGACAGGCCACGGCAGCCCCTGGTCGGCCCAGGAGAACGCCTGGCTCACAACCCATACCTCCTCCTCCTCGCCCCCTCCGCCTCCGCCCCCCCCTCCTCCGCCTGCTGGCTGCACTGCCTGCACGCCCACACTGGCGTAGCGGAAAAACAGGTTCGCCCCCACTGGTGCCAGCGATGCCTCGCTGAAACGGAACCCAAATTGCTGGCCTGGAGAAGGGAAAGGGGGGGAGATAGGGGGGGGAGAGAGGGGGGAGGGGAGGAGAGGGGAGGGGATGGTGAGTTAGTATAGGGTAGGGTAGGGTAGGGGTGGTTGGGGTAGGATAGGGTAAAATAGGGTGAGGGTGGGGTAGGCAGGGTAGGAGAATGCTGGAATATTTTGCGATATAGTGGAAAGAAGCCCATGGATGAAGAGGTGGTGAGCGTGGTGAGGAAGATGAGGAGGGAGATTAAAGGAAGGGCTGAAGGAGGATTGGGGGATGGACATGGTGGAAAAATGAAATGGGGATTGGGAGAAGTACGGGGGATGACTTGTGGGAGGATTGGGGCAAGGATTGGACGACCAAAGGGTGACTCGGGTCAATCATACCTGTAAGAGTGGTTGGTTCCGGGAGACCTGGAAAGAAAAAGAAAAACAGAGAGACAGAAAAGTGAAGTGGGGAGAGGCAGATGGATGAACGAATAGACAGCAACAACTGCGAGGGAGAACAGAGGTAGCACATGGCATCATGGAGCAAAACAGAACAGCAAGAAGCAGGAGAGAGAAGCAGAAAGTGGCACAGAGCAGCAGGGATGGAACATCAGAGAGCTTCAAGGAGCAGCAATAAGTACCTGTGGTGATGTTCCAGGCGAGGATGGAGTGGAGCTGCGGGGAGTCAGAGGAGGAAGCAGAGAAGCCCATGAGGAACGACGCCTCCTCTGCACTGGGCTGCAGGAACTCGCACAGCGACACCTGCATCGCCACCACTGCCTTGCCAGGCCGAGGGGACCCCTTGGCCGACAGAAACACCCGCAGCCACCCCGTGCCTTCACTACTGCTGCTGCCATAGCCAGTGCTGGCAGAAGAACCAGAGGAGGAAGGGGAAGGATCGAAGATGATCCAGGCGTGCTTTGGAGTGCCGTCGTTGAGAGTAAAGGGCGCTTTGGCAGTTGCGATGGAAGAGGTGTTGCCCCTCACACTCACTCCCACGTGGTTCTTATTCGGGTCGTTGGCATCGGTGCTCCTGGCAGTGTCAAACTCCACTGCAATGATGCGCTCATCCATGCCTGCATACCCCAAACTGTAGCCGCCACCACTGCCGTCACTGCTGCCACTGCTCCCGCCTGTAGCAGCGTCACTGGCTGCAATCACAAATGCAAACCCATCCCCTGCGTCACCCGCCGCTGTGGCTGCTGCCCTGCGGGCGGTGGCTGGTTTGAGAATGGAGAAGGAGAAATAGACGGTGAAGGCCAAGGGGCGGCCGCAGGCACCGGCCTTGAGGGCGAAGGAGAAGAGTGGGTTGGGCAGCTGGAGAAACGCTGCACCCCACGTGTTGGGCTGTGAGGCTGTGAGCGTGATGCGGCCGTTGCTTGCCACTGCCGCCCTCCCCTTCACTGCTGTCTGTGCTGCTGTTGGCTGCACGGTCAGTGGGCCGCCCTCCTGGCCTGTTGGTGAGGGAGGGGGCGAGGGCAGGTGGCAAGCGGGCAGAAAGGCACAAGGCAGAGAAGGTCGTGGTTAAAAAGCAGGGCTTTGAGAAGTCCGCGGGAAGAGAAGAGACGGTCTTTGAGGCGCCTCAAGAGCAGGGCAATGTACAAAAGCTCTTCGGCACTTCCAACCCACTTCAACAGCTACCTACATGCAGTGTGACGATTTCCAGGGCGTCTAAAAAACAACACTCTGGGCTGCACACCCCTTCTGGACTGGTGGGGGAGAAAGGGAGCTTGGGATGGCATACAATAGTGGGCCGTTCTGGTGGCGGAATACGTGGTAGGTGCAGGAACGGAAGAAGGTGAGAAGCTTAGGACGTATACTGTCTATCTGTAGAAGACGTGAGCAGGAAGGATTCACAAACATGTCGCCGCTTTCCCAAAGCAAACAGCCACAACCACACAACCCTCACAAACCTCGCAACCCTCACTCCCCTCTTCCCTGTCCTGTTCCCCTATACCCCCCCTCTTCCTGGAACTCACTTCCTTCAGGGACGCAGCTTCCAGGCAGCTCCCCATTGACAAATCCGGGGTGGCAGTCACACGTGGGCACTCTGTTGGGCCCATCCACGTAGCACGAGCCATGCCCGCCGCACGGGGGATCGGCAGCACTCACGCCGCAAAACACATCACAGAGCTCCTCCGGCCGCTGCACCGCTGCATCCACAGCAGAGGGCGTGGCAGGCGTGGGGCAGGAGTAGCCTTGGGTGGGGGTTTGGAGGCAGTTGAAGCGGAAGGAGATGGAGCGGTCAGAGCAGTTGGGTGGGGAGGAGAAGCCTGAGGAGAGGTAGTTGTTGTCGAGATCGTAGATGGTGAGGGTTGCTGGGATGGGCTGCAGTACGGGGCCTGTCAGCTGGTTGTTGCGCAGGTTGCTGGAAGGAAGGACGGAGGGAGGGGAAGGAAGAGAGGAGGAAGCAGGGAGGAAGAGAAAAGGTCGAGGGTATGCTTATAAGGAGACTTTGAGATGGTTAGTGGTCCGTTGGGAGGAGGTTGGAGGGCAGGGGATGCAAAACCGGAGAAACGAGAAGCGGAGGTGAAGCGGGAGGGGAGGAGACGAGAGGGGAGGCCTGGGAGGGAAGGAAGTTTTGGAGAAAAACGATGGATGGGGAGCACTGGGCGGTTTTACTTTCTTACGATTCAAGGCATGGCATAAGTACTGTGAGGTATGCATGAGATACCAACTTTGAGACATCCCAAACCTCAGCAGAACAGAAGAGTTGAAACAGAGTAGTAGGGAGGAAGGGAGGATGCAATGGGTTTCAAGGAACATTGAACCTTGCTTCTTAGCAGGACTGGCGGCACGTTAGATAGATTTGCAGGCATTGGGGGGGGGGGGGGTTGTGGCGGGAGGGTAAACAATGGATGGGGATGCGAGGAGGCCAGTAGGCGGTCGCACAGGAGAGTGGATGTGATAATGCAGGGCAGACGCACAGGAGAGTGGATGGGGTGATACAGGGCGGACTCACAGGAGAGTGAGGCGGACAAGGCCGGTGAGCTGAGTGGGGATGGTTCCATGCAGACGGTTGTTGCTCAGGTCACTGCAGGGGGGGTCTCGGAGAGGGAGAGAGATGACACAGCAAGATACAAGTAGGTGAGAGAAAAGAGATTTGAGAGAAGGGATTGGAGGGGAGGACTGGGATGAAAGGATAGGAGAGTTGAGGCGGCATTGAAACATCTCAAAACGCAATGTGAAAAGTGGAAACACAATGCTCGGTAAGTGGAGACATGGTATTAAGGGGAAAATTAACCTTATTGCAAAGAGCACAATACTGCTGTGGTTGGTAGTTGCTGTAAAGGACTAATGGGGATCGCAGTACCAACGAGAATCAGCGGAAGCAGCAGTGGTAAAAGCCTACCGTGGATAAAAATACGAGTGGAAGGGGGAAATGTATTCCCCCATCCTTGAATCCCAGTTAGTGCACAGACAAAAGCAAGTGTTTGATAGTACCGCTAGCTACCCTTGTTCAAACCTCAATCAGCAAAGAGCATGCTTTCTTGGCAAGTGGGCGTCCAACGCAGGAACTTTCAAGGAAAACAGTGTTGTGCAAGCATGCAGCTGTATGTACGTAAATTATATACTCAATGCTGTGTGAGGGAAAATATGCGTGTAGGAAAAACTATGCTGTGTAGGAAAATCTATGCGTGTAGGAAAAACTATGTTGTGTAGGAAAAATTATGCGTGTGGGAAAATCTATGCGTGTAGGAAAAACTATGTTGTGTAGGAAAAAATATGCGTGTAGGAAAAACTATGTGTGCAGGAAAATCAATGCGTGTAGGAAAAACTATGTGTTAGGAAAAACGATGTTCGTAGGAAAACTATACGTGTAGGAAAAACTATGCGTGTATGAAAAACTATGCTGTGTGGAAAAACAAATGTTGTGTAGCATGAGGCAGACGGATCACTCACATGGCTCGCCCTGCGAGGACCACTCACATGGCTCGCCCTGCGAGGACCACTCACATGGCTCGCCCTGCGAGGACCACTCACATGGCTTCCAGTTTCAATAGCCCTCCGAGAAGAGTGGGTACGGTGCCATTGATCTGGTTGCAGCAGAGGTTGCTGGGTGCTTGCAGAGTGAGAGAGAGAGAGAGTGAGGGTGCACACATGGGGGAATTGGGCAGTGGGAAGGAGGACGGGAAGGAGTAGGGGAAAGGGCCAAGGAGAGTTTACGCGAACGTATAGCTGAAACGGAAACAGAGTGCGAGAACGGCACATGCCAAACAGCGGGGCGGGGAGTGAGAATGGGGGGAGTGGGATGGAGTGGGTCTGGTGAGTAGGGAGGAGTAGGGACAAATGAGGGGTGAAGAAAGTGAGATGGAAAACTGCTAAACGGCATGGTACGAAAGGAAGGGTATGAGAAAAAAAATAAACACAGCACAAAGGAATGGGGAGAGTAGAGGGGCGTATTGTTGAAAGAGATTGTTGTAGTGGGGGCTGGATCTGGATGGGAGGCAGTGAATGTCGGGGAGTGAGAAGATGAAAAGTGGAGAAGGAGAGCAGGGGGAGAAAGAGAGCAGGTACACAGGGCGTTGACAGGGCGTGAGGATGGTGCGGCACTGACATTGCTTCGAGGTTAGCGAGATTGGAGTACTCAGCGGGAATGGAGCCGGTCAACTCGTTGCCACTCAGATTGCTGCCGTGAATGAGGTGCCGGCCAAAGGGGAGGGGAGTGAGAGGGCGGAAGGGCAGGGGGAAAGGAAGGCGGGCGGGAAGGGGGAAGGGAGGGGGGACGGACGGGGAGAAGGGAGGGGATGTGAAATGGAGGGAGGGTTACAAGAAAGCGGAAAGAGAAGAGAGGCTACGACAGGAGAGGATGGCGCTCACTTTGCTGTAGATGTGATCCCAGGCAGGCTGCGTGAATGAAGTATAAAGGACCACTTGAGAATGATGGGTCCTCGAAAGCGCATGCTACATGGGGAGTGGAGTGGAGCCCTTAGCCCCATACGTGCCCCTAGCAGAGTCGCGGAAGCAGAGGAAAGGGAGGGCGGGAGTGGGCAGTGGTGAAGTGCACTCACAGGGCCTTGAGGGTGGTTATGCTGCTGATGCTGTTTGGAAGAGGGCCGGACAGGTCGTTGTGGCTCAGATCTCTGGGAGTGAAGGCAGAGAGGATTGGGTGAAACGACAGGGATGACATGGAAGAAAAGGAAGATGGTAGGTGGGAGCAGTGGAATGCATAGCAACCGACATTTAGTGTGGCATGAGATGGAGGAGGTGGAGTGAGAAGCCACCACTTGTTTGACCTTGGCTGGCATGGCATGACATGATACATGGCAGGAGAAACAATGGCATGGCATATGGCATGACAAAGCATATGGCATGACATGGCATATGGCATAGCAAGGCTTAAGAAAAATCACGTGTGAAAGGGCTTACGAAGCAGCAGTGAGTGCACTCACAGACTGGTGATGGCATTCAAGGTTGTAACCCCTGTGGGCACTTCTCCTGAGAGCAAGTTGTAGCTCAGGTCCCTGCCGTGCACATTCAGAGAGGCAAGGGAGAAAGGGAGGGGTGGGACAGAGAGGGTGAAAGACAATGCGATGGATGAAAGTGGTGCGACACGGGAAAGCGGTGGGATGGATGAAAGCAGTGCGACACGGGAAAGCGGTGGGACGGATGAAAGTGCTGAGATGGTTACAGCTTCTGCAGGTTGTCATTCCATGCAATGAATTCTGCTGGAACGGAACCCGTGAGAAGATTGTTGGAAAGTGATCTGGAGAAAGAAGCAGAGAGACAGGGGGATAAACCCACAGAGCAATGGAGAGACTGGGCAGAGAGACGGGGCAATGGCACGAGGGACAGCAGGTTGACAGGGTGGGATTATGGGATACGAGAAGAGGCAAGATGCATACAGATGGAAACACTTTCGCTTGGTGTCAAACATGCTGCTCAGAATGTTTCCAGTATGTAAGAGGTAGCACGCGAAGATCAATCAGTGCCTTCCAGCACAGGGAAAGATGAGAGAATGCAGTGAGGGGAGAGCATACAGCTGCTCAAGATACGTTAAGGAGGATGGAACGAGCATGCCCGACAGACGGTTGAAGCTCAGGTTTCTGTGAGGAGAGAGGGAGAAGGAGAGAAGGGGAGAGAGTGGAGGGGCTGGTGGGAAGGTGTGTTTGGGCGAGGGGTATGAGAGGGCATCCAGGGGCTTGCTTATTTGTGGGTACGTGGAACCTGGAAGAGACAATGGAAAGGGATGGAGGAAATATGTACATTACCATGAACACATGAGGACCTGAGGGCATGAAGAGAGCACATGGATAATCACGAAAGGGTGAAAATGTCACAAGAACAGTGAAGGATAGTGGGCCAACAGGTTGGTGAGTTTGACGAGGAGGGAGAGGGACGAAGGCACGGATCCTGACAGTTGGTTGTGGCTCGTGTCCCTGTGGCAGAACAAGCATGGCATGGCATGCCATAGTGTGTTGTGATGTGGTGTCGTGTTGTGTGGTGTGGTGTGGTGTGGTGTGATGTGGTGTTGTATGGTGTTGTATGGTGTGTTGTGGTGTGGTGTGGTGTGGTGTAGCATGGCATGACATGGCATGGCACGGCATGGTAGCAGGTAGTCATATTGGTGACAACGGGAGTAGAATAGACAAATCACAAAAGCAAACAGACGAGGAGAAGCAGGCGCTAGTGAATCGACTCAAGTCAAGTAGAAGATAAAGCACTTGATTGAAACAGAACATTCCCACACACCCATACTCTGATTTTCCCTCTCGCAGCTATTATGTGGCTCCACACACCACTGAACGAGCCAGTAGCTTGAGTCACCCCAGCAGGCTTCAAAGACCAAAGAGGAATTAGAGGAACTAAAAATGAGGACAAGAGGGGATTTGAAGAGGTTCCACACACTCACAGGTGGGGTGTCTTGGTTAGTGCAGCGATAAGCGGCTCTGGGATGGCGCCTGAGAGAAGGTTGGACGACAGGCCCCTGAAGGGGGGAATGGGTTGCAGTGCGGTGGTGAAGGGTGAGAGTGGTTGACATGGATGGATATCAGTGATTGGGAATGAAGGACGTGAGACAAAGATACAATCATGTGTTGTGAAATGGGTCGGGATGCAGAGTGATTGACTGGGTGGGGTGTGGTGGAGCAAGACCGATGGCATGGGATGGGATGGAACCAAACACAACACATTACCACATACGTACTGACAGGAAGCCACATACACGCAACCCGCACACTGACAGGAAGCCGTAAACACGCTACCACATACTGACAGGAAGCCACATACACGATACTGACAGGAAGCCACATACACGATACTGACAGGAAGCCACATACACGATACTGACAGGAAGCCACATACACGATACTGACAGGAAGCCACATACACGATACTGACAGAAAGCCACACACACGCTACCACATACTGACAGGGAGACACACATGCTACCTCGTAGCTTACTAACTGGGAGACACACATGCTACCTTGTAGCTTACTGCCAGGGAGCAAGGTTCAAAAATACGCTTTTCATAAAAGACGGTCTGTTTTTTACGGTCGTTTTTTACGGTGTTCAAAAAAGAAAACGGCCGTTTTTTTGTTATAGAACTCTGTTCACCAAGAAAAAAAAGGGAAAAACAAGGTCAAATACATTTTAAATCATGCCAACAACCGCACACATGCAAGAAGGGGTCCGTCCCCTTCATCCTGCTGACTTTCTGGTTCAATTTGGTCTCATAAAGTGGCTGTTTTGTTAATTAAACCGAAAACACCTCCTGGAACTGTTTCAAAGCGCTTTTTACGACTGTTTTTTACGATATCGTTTTTTACGGTAAATTCTAAAAAAAACGGCCGTTTGTTAAAACCCTGACAGGGAGACACACATGCTACTTTGTAGCATACTGACCGACCAGGGGTGGAGAGCTCTTGACAGGGTGAAAGACATGCTACTGCGTGGTACTGACAGGGTGGAGAGGTGCTGAGAGGGCGCGACACACACTGTATCGCACAGGTACTGACAGGGTGGAGAGCTGGGAGAGGCGGCTGTAGCCCAAAGGCAGCGATCCCGAAAAGATGTTGCTGCTGAGGTCTCTGGGGATTGGGAAGAAGAGAGGAGAGAGGGGGGAGAGGGGCGAGCGGGGAGTGGTGAGAGAGGGGCGACGGGGGAGAGCAGGAGAGAAGAGAAGGAAGAGGGATGCGGGGTGGGGGAAGAGAGCAGAGGAGAGATGAGA